GAAAAGGCAATAAAAAGCATGCAGATAAGAACGAACGACTAAAACTCTCCGTATCCAGGCTGGCATTGTGGCGTAGAGGATTAAGCAGCCACCTGCCATGCCAGCATCCCGTAAGCGGGCTGCTTTCAGACCTGGCTGCTTCACTTTGGATACAGTTCCTACTAACATGCTGGAAAAGCAGAAGATGGCCCAAGTGCTTGGGCCCCTGCACCCACACAGGAGACCTGCACGATGCTCCTAGCTCCTGCTGGCCCAGCCCTGGCCGCTGCAGCCACCTGGGGAGTGAACCAGAGGATGAAGATCTCTAACTCTGCCTTTCAAATAAATAACTTAAAAAAAGAAAGTGAGATGACACAACAGCAGGGTGCAGAATAATGTACAAAACACCATCAAAAGTATGAGCTGCCAAGGGATAAATCTCACAAAAGATCTGTAAGACCTGTAACTGAAACTAGAGAATGCTGCCGAGAGAAATGAAAAAATACCAGAGCTGCTTTCTGTGACAGTCAGTGGACCCCGCAGTGTCAGGACACCGATTCCCCCAACGCTGAACCAGGGTCCCCAAACACATGACAAAAGTCCCAGGAGGCTTACTTGCAGAACTTAGCCAACAGATTCCAAAATCATACAGAGATTTAAAGGACCAAGAACAGGACCAAAACAGATGTGAAAAGGGACCCAGCTGGAGGGATAACACCTTCCGACCCCACGACTTAGTGAAGCACTCCTCGCCGGACAACGATCCTCGCTGAGAAAGAAGCGACTCAGAAGAAAGAAGTCTTTCAATCAAGACGCTGCAGAACACGGAACGTGAATTCACACTTCATAACATACAAAAACGCACTCTAAGTGTAAAACCTAAACTCAGAAGTGTCCAGAAGGAAACAGGAGAAAATCTTCGTGACCATAGGCTGGGACACAAAGCACAACTCAGAAAGGAACAGACTGACTCTCTTGCGTTCAAAATTTAAAACTGCTCTCCTCTGACCTCAGAATCAGCCCTTAGGCACTCTGGTCTGGCTGAAAAGCCCACGAGAGCATTTCAGGCACGGAAATTCCAGACGCTGGAGCAAAGAATGTCTTACGTGAAGGATCTCGGTGGGTGAACTCCAGCGGACAGAAGTGCTCATCAAAGGAGGCACTTTAACTCTGAAGGGAGGAGAGAACTTCCACTTTGCTTATGGCTTGTCTAAACGCTGATGGAGTTTGTGGATTCAAGGCTTCCACAGCCGAGGCAGCTCATGTCAAGAGCCCCGGGTGATCACTGACATCATACAGAGCGTTAATTGTTAATTAAATCACTGTGTACCAACTTCCCATGCAGGACCTCTGTCCTCAGTGAGTTGTATTATAACTACGTCTAAGTGCTCCTAAAAGATGTATCATTCTTGGATGCTTCCTTAAAGTTAATTAAACTTCTAAAAAAATGAAATTAACTTCAAGATGCCATGGCTCTGAACAACCTTGTCTCGACAGCTGAGGACAAATTATTGAACTCTTTACTTAGAACAGAGCTGGTCTTCTGTGTATAAAGTTGATTGAAAAATGGATCTTAGTGGAGAATGAGACTGGGGATGGGAGAGGGAGGAGGAGGAATGGGAGGGTGGGTATGGTGGGAAGAATCACTGTATTCCTGAAGTTGTGCTTATGAAATGCATGAAGTCTGTATTCCTTAAATATAAGGTTTCCTTGGGGGGAAAATAAAAACAAAAAAAAAAATCTACTGCTCTTCAAAGGACATACTTAAGAGAATCAAGACAAGCCACAGACTGGGAGAATATTATTGCAAAGCCAATATCTGATATAACATTTGTCCAAAATATGTAATAAGCTTACCCACTCAATAACAGAAAAGAAACTCAATGAGAATGAGAAAATCTGAAGACAGTTCATCAAAAACACTCACAGAATAGCAAATGAGCACACAGGGACTTAGTAAATGGTGCCACCGCTTTGAAAAGCAAGAAATTTATTTATTTATTTATTTATTTATTTATTTTTGACAGGCAGAGTGGACAGTGAGAGAGAGAGACAGAGAGAAAGGTCTTCCTTTGCCGTTGGTTCACCCTCCAATGGCCGCCGCACCGCGCTGATCCGATGGCAGGAGCCAGGTGCTTTTCCTGGTCTCCCATGGGGTGCAGGGCCCAAGCACCTGGGCCATCCTCCACTGCACTCCCTGGCCACAGCAGAGGGCTGGCCTGGAAGAGGGGCAACCGGGACAGAATCCGGCGCCCTGACCGGGACTAGAACCTGGTGTGCCGGCGCCGCTAGGCGGAGGATTAGCCTAGTGAGCTGCGGCGCCGGCCACAATTTCTTTATTTTTTTTAAGATTTATTTATTTATTTGAAAGAGTTACAGACTGGCAGAGGCAGAGGCAGAGAGAGCGGTCTTCCACCTGCTGGTTCACTCCCTAAATGCCACAACGGCCAGAGCTGGGCCAATCCAAAGCCAGGAGCCAGGAGCCAGGAGCTTCTTCCAGGTCTCCCACGTGGGTGCAGGAGTCCAAGGACTTGGGCCATCTTCTACTGCTTTCCCAGGCCATAGCAGAGAGCCGGATCGGAAGTGGAGCAGCTGGGACTCCCAGAATGTGAGCACTGAAGGCTGTGGCTTTACCAGCTACGCTACAGTGCCGCAGTGCCGGCCCCGGAAATTTCTTATACAGTTGAACAAGTATTTTTCCACGGGACCCTGGGGATCTACTTCCAGAGGAATGAGAATGTTTGTTACGTTATTTGTAACCCAAAACTTGATACCCAAGTGTCCATTAACTGGTGAAGAATAAGCCAAACACAGTACACCCAAGCAGGACAGGAATACAAAGAAACAAATTATGGGGACCCAGCTCCAGTTGGAGTCCCAGCTGCTCCACTCCTGACCAGCTCCCTGCCAATGCTCCTTGGAAAACAGTAGATAGCCCAAAGCCTCGGCCTGTGCCTCCCACATGGGAGACCCTGATGGATTTCTAGGGCCCTGGCTTTCGTCTGGCCCAGCCATCTGGGGACTGAACCAGCAGACAGAAGATCTCCGTATTTGTCTCTTTCCCTCTCTCTCTGGCTCTATCTTTCAAATAAATAAATAGTAAACAAGCTAATTACTATCACATAGTGTGCATGGATTTCAGAAGTATCGTGGGTATGTGTGTGGTGCTGTGGGCGAGAAGCCACCTGTGGCACCTGAATCGCCCATCAGAATGGCTGGGTCTGAGTTGTGACTCCACTTACAATTAATTCTAGCTTCCGCTAACGCGCAGTCCGGGAGGCAGCAGATGATGGCTGGAGTTCTTGGGCTCTGCTACCTGTGTGGGTGACCCAGATGATTTCCTGGCTTCAGCCTGGCCCAGCCCCTGCTGTTGTGGACAGCTGGGGGAATGACCCAGCACGTGGAAGAACTCTGCCTCCGTCCCTCCTCTCCCTTTCAAATACAATGAGAGTAAACAATTTTTTTAAAAGTTCCACCCTAAGCAAAAAAAAAAAAAAAAAAAAGTCAGACATGCAAAACGCATGATTCTATTTGGATGAGATTCCAGAAACAGCAAGCTATGGGGACAGAAAACAAGTAAGTAAAGACGATGGAGCTGGTTGGGAGGGGAGACACGTCCACATCCGTAACAACTTAGTAAGACCCAAGTTACACATCCTATGTAAACGATGAGAGAACGGCTTAGAGAGACGCAGAGGCCGGCCAGTTCACACGCGCCCTGTCACGCACACACGCACACAGGCGCGGGGGGGGGGCTCCAGCTCCAAGCACAGGTATCCCTCTCACGCCCAGTGCTCCGTATTCGCGCTGGGATCCATTACGTGCGACGAGGTGTGGAATTTTCCACTTGTGTCACCACGTCGGTGCTCAGTGTCAGGTTCTGGAGCATTCCGGGAGTTTGGATAAGGGAGGCCCCGGCAGGGTGGGTGGCGGGACACGCAGGGGGCCTACAGGCCCTCCGTGGCACTGCGCAGCGCCGCTAACGTCACGCAAATACACCCACAGCCCAAGGCTTTGCAGGGAAAACTCGCACAGCTCCCCGCACATCGGGGGGAAGCGCGCTCCCGAGGGGCCGCCAAGTGGCTTCCAAGTTCCCCACGCGGCGCGCCCCCGGCCGCTCCTCCCGACCCCGGACACGCAACGGCGAACCGCATCCAGACGCGCGCGGGCCGTCCCCGCAGCGGGCACTTTACATAAGCGCGGCCCGCGCGAAGGCCGCGCGGTCACGTGCCGCCCGCGCCCGCGCCCGCGCCCGCGCCCGCCGCGGCCCCGGGCCACTCGGGCCGCTCACCTGGTACAGCTCCTCCAGGTTGTAGCGGATGGAGGTGCTGCCCTGGATGGCCCGCACGGCCTCGTGCAGCTGGCGCCACGTGTCCTGCGTGTAGTTGTCGGGCAGCTGCGGCCTGTCTGTGGAGAGCGCAGGGTCAGGCGCGGCCGGCCGCCCCGCGTCCGCGCCGCCCCGCGCCCCGCGCCCGCCAGGCCGCACCTCGGAAATTCTTGATGACCAGCTTCCTGGAGCCGCCCGCGCCGCCCGGCTTGTTGGGGCCGCCGGCCAGGCCCGCGGGCTTGGTGAGGCCGTTGGTGCGGCCCACGAGGGCCGAGACGCCGGCCTTGCGCGGGGCCTCCTCCGCCATGGCCGCGGCCGGACGCCGCCCGACCCGCCCGGGCACGCCGCCCCGCGCCCCGCGCCCCGTGCGCCCGGCTCCGGCCCTGTCCGCCCGCGTCCGGCGCCGGCTCCGGCTCCCGAGCCTCCGTCCGGGCCTGCGCCGAGGCCGCCCCGCCCCGCCCCGCCCGCGCCCCGGAGCCCAACCGCCGCCGCCGCCGTCGGCCCGGCCCGCCCCTCCCGCCGCCGGGCGCGGGACGCCGCGCTCAGACTCCGGGGCGCGCGCGCCGGGCCGCGCGCCGGGCCGCCCCTCCCCTCGGGGGCGCGGGGCTGCGCGGGAAGCCGGCGCCGCGGAGCCCGCCGCACCCCGCGGCCGCCGGCGCGGCGGCGCGCGCCCGGACCCCCGCCGCCCCACCGAGGGCGGGCTGAGGAGGGGGCGCGAGGCCGCCCTCCATCTTAGTCTGCGGGCGCGCGCGCCGGCACCCTGTGTGTGGACTCGGGGGCGCGCCCGGGGCCGGCTGCGGCCGCGAGCCGAACGTCGCTGCGGGGAGTGCTTTTCACGAGAGGGATCGCGGGCCCCAGCGAGCGAGGCGAGCGGCGCCAGACCCCGGCCGCCCTCCACCGGGCTCGGCGCCGAGCTGCCGGGGCGGCGCTTGCGGCGCACGTTGTGGTCGGAACCAATGTGCGAGCGACGCTGGCGTCGGGGGGCGCCTGGCGGGGGACGGACCGCCGGCCGGAAGTGACGCGCGGCCTGACGCGGGCGGAGCGGGCGCAGGCTGCGCGGCGGCCGCGCCATGGCGCACATCACCATCAACCAGTACCTGCAGCAGGTGGGTGCTGGCGGGCGCTGCGGGGCGGCTGGCGCAGGGCCGCCGCGCCGAGGCGTGTCCGTGTGCGGGGTGCGGGGAGCCCCGGGCGGCCCGCCTCTGCCGGAGGCCACTTCCCTCGGGTTTTCCCAGGGGGCGGCGCCGGTACGGTCGCTCAGCCGCGGGTGTCCGGGGTTCTGGAACGCTTTAGAAGTGGCGGGTTGTCGACGCGGGATGGCGGCCGGGTGTAACTGATGCGGGGGAGAACGCGGGTCGGCGGGACTTGGGCTCCTACCGCGGCCTGCGCGCTGGCTCTGCGGCCAGGGCGCGCGACCCCGCGGCCGCGATCTCCTGGGAACGGGACCCGTGGGAGCTGGGGGAGTTAGAGCCCCACGGCATCTGCCCCTGGTGAACCTCGCCCCGCCTTGCGTGTCTGACGCTGCAGCTGCCGGGCACAGAAGCGGCCGCACCGAGGCTCTGGGCTCAGACGGCGCCGCCGGGACGCGGGCCCGGGCTCTGGTCGCAAGGCCGTGTTTTCAGCATTGAGTTTTCCAAAGGATGATGTTTCTTGGCGCGTCGGACTGCGAGCGTAGGGTCCTTGTCCACCTGCACCCTCCTCCATTCCTGATTTCAGCACCCTGTGATGGGTTCCTAGTAGCTCTGGGGAGGAAGTGGGTCTGACTTTCCCTAGGGCGGGAGAGATTGCCTGCTGCTGTGTCTTGGGTTCTCGGGACAGAGCCCAAGGACCTAGGTATTACTCCGCACGGCAGACCCCGTGGTGTCAGCATGTTGGCATCGTTCTGGGGTGTGCGTTTTTTTTTTTAATCTCAAATCCCACAGGGGTCAAGTGATGACCCAGGTGGGTACAGGCACTTGGAACCAGGAGGGGAACTCTGATCTTGATTACCAAGCGGCTTTATTTTATTTTTTGGGGAAAATCAGTTTATTTAACTCAAACAGTAGCATTGCAACAGCTCATTTCAGGAGATCAAACATCTGCCAGACCCGAATTGAACTTCGTGTCAGTGGTGTGCACACAGCTAGGACACCCTGTTCCGACAGCGCCGGCGCAGGGGAGCTCTTCCCAGCACAGGACGGGGCCGGGGTAGCACATCACTGCTGATCGCCTCTTGAGATTCCAGGCCACGCCTTCACTTTGACCTCTGACTCAGAGGAATCCGTGGGCTGCCCTGGCTGGGCTCCCCCAGGCTCCTGGTGAGGGAGGTGGGCTCAGCCGTCCTTCCCACGCAGCAGCCCCCGGTGACAGCATGACGCAGCGCGTGCCCACACCTGGCCAGCGGCAGTGGTTGCCATCTGGGCCATCGGCCTGGCTGTCCAGGTGCAGCAGTGGGGGAGCCACGGTGGCCGTGCTGCTGGTGCCAGCCTCAGTGCACGCCTCCGCCGAGCGCCAGGTGTCTGGAAGTGGGAGCTCTCCTATCAGTTTGCCAGCGAGTCTGCCGCTGTCCAGGGCCAGGCCTGGAGGGAGGCACTGCTGTGTCTCCAGGCATCCTGCTGCCTAAGCAACCCTAGTCACAGCCCGAGTCAGGAGGGACACGGGGCCCTGCAGCGCCTGTACTGCCAGCAACTGTCAGAACCCAGGAGGCCGGAGGAGGGGGAGGGGTGTCGTCCCCCCCCAGCTGATGGCTACAACGTCTCCTCTTCTTCAGGCTCCAGGTGTCAGCACCCAGCTCAGTTTCTGTCTGAGGCCGGAGAAGCTACAGTAACTCATCTTAGTGTTTCCTTGCCTGTACTTATTCTCATTCATTCTCTCTCTCTCTCTCTCTTTACTTTGAAAGAGTTACAGAGAGGAGGAGAGACAGAAGGAGAGAGAGAGAGATCTCATCCACTAGTTCACTACCCAAATGGCCTCAATGGCTGGGGCTGGGCCAGGCCAGAGCCAGGAGCTTCTTCCAGGTCTCCCACACGGGTGCAGGGACTCAGGGACTTGAGCCATCCTCTTTTGCTTTCCCGGGCACATTAGTAGGGCGCTGGATTGGAAGTGGAGCAGCCCTGGGACTTGAGGAGTGCCGGCATCACAGATGGAGGCTTTACCTGCTGCGCCACAGCGCTGGCCCCTACCCGTATTTTCTACTTTCAAAAACTGTTGTAAGTACTTAGAGGGAAGTCGGTTGCATATCCTTGTAGATCTGTTCATCACCCGTGATGTCAGAGCTGGTGTCTCTTCTGTGTGTCCCTTGTGTCATGCTTCTCTTCACTCCACACACTTCTGTGTCGCGTGGCCAGTGGCCTCCATTTGACGTCCTGAAATGCCCAGCTGGATGCCGGGTCTGCCTCACACTGGCCTCATGGTTCTCTCTGGGACGGATGCTGTTTCCTGCAAACCTCGTGAGTCAGCTGCCCTGGGAGCAGGGACGTCCCCCCATGATGACCAGGCCTTTAGTGGCCACGGAATTTCCTATCCATGCAATGTTTTCTAATGCAGAATCCCTTTCCTCCTCTCCCCCAGAGTATCCTTTAGAACTCTTAGGTGTTCTGGTCAGGCAGATCACACATTGCTTCTAGTCTGCTTCTAAATATTTATTTGAAAGGCAGAGTTAGAGTGAGACACAGAGAGGGAGAGAGATCTGCATCTGCTGGTTCACTCCCCAAGTGACCAGGCCAAAGCCAGGCGCCTGAAACTCCCATCTGGGTATCTTATGTGAGTGGAAGGGGTCCAAGCACTTGGTCCGTCTTCTGCTGCTTTCCCAGGTGCATTAGCAGGGAGCTGGATTGGAAGGGGAGCATCGGGACTCAAACTGGTGCCCATCGTGATTGCCGGTGGCACAGGCAGCAGCGTAATCCGCTTTGCCACAGCGCCAGCCCCTGTCCTGCTCTTAGTTGATAACCGGAAGAGTCCTTCTCCTTATGGGAGGTGGTAGAGGGCAGTATGACATTGCGCATTTTTTTAAAGTCCAGGCCAGTGGTCTCAGAGGTTTCCTAAAGAAGGGTTTGGGTTCACGTTCCTCTGAGCTCACCACAGGTGGTGACTCACAACCAGAGAAGCCTCACTGGTCACACCAAACGCACCACCTCAGGTCCCTCCACGCCGGTGTCCCTTCCCCTGTGGACACCAGGGCTCAGGAGCCAGGGCCCTTTCTCTTGTCAGGACCAGGGTCTGGCGGTGACAGTGGCAGGGCCTGTGAGGTTCTTGTTTCCAGAGCGGCCTCCTGTGCTCGCTAGCTAGTTCTTCACAAGTTAAAAATGTCCCCCCCCCCCCCCCCCCCGGCCTTTAAAAAGCCCGCCATGGGATACCTTTACTGCCAAGCTGTGCTCCGCTGGCACCATTGTGCTGTGAAGCTCCGACTGTCCCAGATCTGGCCACCGCGCCTCTTCGGACTGGTGTCTGACTGGAACCTGCCCCGTCCCGCGTGCTCTGCCTTGTTTTCTGGCGCGGTGCGTATTCCCTGCGTCAGCCCTTCCGGGAGCCCTGGTCCTCTCAGCAGGGAGTGCATCAGGGAACAGAACCCGCGTGCGTCTTGCTGCGGGCATCTCCACTTCTGTCTGGGATTCCGTGCACGGGGTGAGTGAATGTGGTTTTAAGAAGTGTGAGTTCCCAGAGCTGGCGGTGCCTCCTGTGGCCCCCCGGGGGATATGAGGGGCCGTGCAGCAGCCCAAAGACACCATCCTCCTGGGATGCCCATGTCCACGGCCTCGTGAGCCAGCCCGCAGTAAGACTCACTTGGAATCTGGCTGTGTGGCCCGTGGGTGCTGCCATGTGACACTAGCGGCTGGAGAAGCCCCTGAGAAGGTGGCTGGCTGCCTGGGACCATGGTGTTCGGATACCACCTGCTGGCTTCCATGCAGTGTTGGCATCTGGGCAGGGCACTGATAGGTGTTCTCCTAAGGAAATGCGTGCCTGGGCTCAGGGTCCAGTGCAGCCAAGCCAGTCAGCTGGGCCGGTCGTGCCTGAGGTGTTGCCTGTAGTTCTGGTGTCTGTGGCCAGGCAGAGCCATGGACACTGGGGCCCAGTTCATCTGTAGCCTCCAGAGGCCACCTCGGAGATTCCTGGTGAAGGAGTTTTACTGGGGATGAGCTGGACCCTGGCAGACGTCGGCACGTGCCAGTGGAGGGACCGGGATCGGGTCCCTCAGCCACCTGTGGGTGCTTTGCGCCATCACGGTGTTTGCGTTGCGCAATGCTTGCTGGCGTCTGGAGGCCTGGGGGGCTTTTGGAATGTCGTGCTCCAGCATGCGGGGTGCTAGAGTCCCCGGTGCCGGCTGGAGCGAGGCATCTGCGAGGCCTCTTAGGACGGAGCCGTACCAGGATTCGAGTGGGAGAGCGACCAACAGTGCGTTAAAACCAGTGGGCCTGGGACAGAGGCCAGTGTGCCTCTGCGAGGGACAGCTCTGGGAGACTCTGGGCTGAGATGCCCTGTTGGTGCGGGGCACAGGTGGGCACAGGTGGGTGGAGGCTGCTCAGAGCAGCTTCCCTGCCTGATGTGCCCCAGCGGAGCAAGGACAGGAGCCTGTTGGGGGCAGGTGACTTAGGAAGGCTCAACCTCGTTGGAGCTAAGTTGACTGAAACTGATTTTCCTGGCGACCTGCAGACCGGCATCTGGACGGGGTCCTTGCATTTTCCAGCCCAGGACTGGCTCTCTGTGGTTGGGGGTTGAGAGAAGGTCTCACGTGCCCAGGCTGACCTGGAGAGGAGGCTGCCCTCTCGTTGCCGAGGGCACTGCTTGGCTCCTTCCTGGCACCTGTCCACCCCAGTCAGTGGTGTGCAGTCAGCCACATAGTACTTCTGACCAAGCCCTGGGACGTTCTTCTGGGGGTGGTCACAGGATGCTGGCAACCCGGTGTTGCCTTCCCTGAGCTGCCTCTGGGTGTGGAAGCTGGCAAGGGTGCTTGATTCCAGCACTGTGCTGATTTCAAGGAGGAGACCTGAGGGACCGGTGCTGTGGCATAGCAGGTAAAGGCGCTGCCTGCGACACTGGCGTCCCCTATGGGTGCCAGTTTACATCCTGGCTCCTCCACTGCGGATTCGCTCCCTGCTAATGACCTGGGAAAGGCAACGGAGAATGGCCCAGGTGCTTGGGCCCCTGTAACCACGTCGGAGACCCAGAAGAAGCTCCTGGCTTCAGCTTGGCCTAGCTTTGGCTGTTGTGGCCATCTGGGAAGTGAACCAGAATCTCTCTGTCTGTCTCTCCCTTTCTCTGTAACTCTGACTTTCAAATAAATAAATAAATCTTTCACAAAAAAAAATTTTTTTTTTTTTTTGACAGGCAGAGTGGACAGTGAGAGAGAGAGACAGAGAGAAAGGTCTTCCTTTTGCCGTTGGTTCACCCTCCAATGGCCGCCGCGGCACAAAAATTTTTTTTTAAAAGAGATCAGAACCCCCTCCACAGTCGGTTGAGGTTCTTGGTGTCTGTCAACTTCTTGGATGAAATTCCTAAGCCTATGGCCAGAGATGTGAAGAGAGAGACTTGATTTGGGGGTCTGGGTTTTCTTTTCTTTTTCAAATTTATTTATTTGAAAGGTAAAGTTAGAGAGACAGAGAAGGAGAGACAGAGATCTTCCATCTGCTGGTTTGCGGCCCATATAGCCACAGCCAGGAGCTTCATCTGAGTCTCCCACATGGGTGGCAGGGCCCAAACTTGGCCCATCTTTCGCTGCTTGCCCAGGCACATTAGCAGGGAGCTGGATCAGAAGTGGAGCAGCCAGGAACTGGAACCAGTGCCCATATGGGATGCTGGCGCTGCAGGGGCAGCTTAACCTGCAGTGCCACAACACTGGCCCCAATATATTTGTTTTTAATTACAAAATGCACAGGCCTGCTGTTGCTGTGTGGTCAGTCTCCTGGTGACTACAGCCCAAGCTGTCTCCTGCTGTGGCTGCAGCCCTTCTGTGTCTGCCTTGTACATGGTTTGTCTGTTCCCCTCCCCAGTCAGGTTATATGGTTTTCCTATTATAACTTTCTCATCGCTTAACAGTAAGCGTATTGTGGGTTTTTTCTCATATGGCTGCATTTGATTTTAGTTCATTCTATTTTTTTTTTAAGATTTATTTATTTATTTGAAAGAGTTACACAGAGAGAAGGAGAGGCAGAAAGAGAGTCTTCCATCCGATGGTTCCCTCCCCAGTTGGCTGCAACGGCCGGAGCTGCGCTGATCCGGAGCCAGGAGCTTCTTCCAGGTCTCCCACGTGGGTGCAGGGGTCCAAGGAGTTGGGCCATCTTCTACTGCTTTCCCAGGCCACAGCAGAGAGCTGGATTGGAAGTGGAGCAGCCGGGCCTCTAACCGGTGCCCATATGGGATGCTGGCATTGCAGGCCAGGGCATTAACCCACTGTGCCACAGCACTGGCCTCCAGTTCGTTCTTTTTTTTTTTTTTTTTTTTTTTTTTGCCAGGCAGAGTTAGACAGTGAGAGAGACAGAGAGAGAGTTATAGACAGTGAGAGAGACAGAGGTTTTCTTTCTGTTGGTTCACTCCACTAATGGCCGCTACGGCCGGCACCGTGCCGATCCAAAGGCAGGAGCCAGGTACTTCCTTCCGGTCTCCCATGCGGGTGCAGGGCCCAAGCACTTGGGCCATCCTCCACTGCCTTCCCGGGCCACAGCAGAGAGCTGGACTGGAAGAGGAGCAACCGGGACTAGTGCCCGGTGCCCCAACCAGGACTAGAACCTGGGGTGCCGGCGCTGCAGGTGGAGGATTAGCCTAGTGAGCAACAGCGCCATCCATGCAGTTCATTCTTAACAGTGGCCAGGTACCCCACTGTCTGAACACGAGTCATCTGTTTAGACATACTTATTTCCCTTTTATACTTGGCGAGCAGAATCTTTGAAGATTGGGTCTATGCGGTTTATAAGCTGGTTTTGTTCTTTGTTCCATAGGCTGTGTGAGTGAATTTCCAAAGGGTAGTGTGAGCGAGTAAATCGGCAGTCATTTACCTTCCTTGTAACTGAACGATGAACTGGCTGTTGTCCGTTAGTTGTTCTTGTGCCTCTGGGAATGAAGGTCCCTGGTTGGAGAGGGTGTTGACGTGCCCTTCGGTGACTAACTCCTGAGGAAATAGGGGTGCTGTGTGTTGGTGGCACACAATGTTTTGTGTCCCTCTTCATGTTCCAGGTGTACGAAGCCATCGACACCCGAGATGGAGCGTCCTGCGCAGAGCTGGTGTCTTTCAAGCACCCGCATGTCGCAAACCCCCGGCTGCAGGTGAGTGGAGAGCTGCCTGCACGGCGTCGGGGCCACAGGGGGCCGGTTTCTCAGGACAGGTTTAGGCTTTGAATAAGAAAAGCTGTCACTCTTTCCTAGAAGTTTCAAAGCTCCTTTACAACTGTGATTCCACTCTGTGGTACCCTCTGCTGTACCCCTAACTCCTGCCCACCCCTGAGTTTTGGAGCAGAGGGGTGGCATATTCCATTCATCCAGGAACAGTGGGGCAATGGGCTTGGTCTGTGCCCGTGCTTGTCTGTCCCCAAAACCCAATAGCCATGGGCTGGCGCTGTGGTTGTAGTAGGTTAAGCCTCTGCCTACCATGCTGGCATCTTATATGGGTGCCGGTTTGAGACCCGGCTGCTCCACTTCCAACCCAGCTTTCTGATACGGCCTGGGAAAGCAGTGGAAGATGGCCCACGTGCTTGGGCCCCTGCACCCACATGGGAGACCTGGAAGAAACTTCTAGCTCCTGGCTTCAGATTGGCCCAGCTCCAGCCGTTATAGCTGTTTGGGGAGTGAACCAGTGGATGGAAGACTTTTCTCTCTGTTTCTCTCTCTGGAACTCTGGCTCTCAAATAAATAAATAAAAATCTTAAAAACAGGAAAAAGCCCACTAGCCATCAGGCACCCCAGATGCCTCCTAATTGAGTTCCTGCTCACAGGGGGTCATCGGGCCCAGGCCCAGCCTGAGGTTGTCCATGGCATTTTAGTGGAACATCTGTGTTATGGCTGCTGCTTGCTGCAGTGGCACGAGTGGCTGAGTGCACAGAGACTGTGGCCTGTGAAACCTGAGATGCTCATCATCTGGCCTTGTCTGCAAAGTGTTTGCCACTTCTGCTGGAGAACGAAGCACCGCTGATGTAGACCAGGTGGGAACCCTTTTTCTTCCGAGAGCCATCTGGATATTTGTAACATTCGCAGGCCATACACAGTTATCAATGTAAACATTTGCCTGCTATAAATGTATTGAATTTCTTTTTTAAAGATCTACTATTTTGTTTATTTTTATTTGAAAGGCTGAGTTACTGAGAGGAAGGAAGAGAGAGAGAGATCTTCCATTTGCTTTTCCACCCCTCAAATAGCCGCAACGGCCAGGGCTGGGCCAGGCCAAAACTAGGAGCCTGGATCTTCCTCTGTGTCTCCCACATGTATTCAGGGGCCCAAGCACTTGGGTTGTCTTCCGATGCTTTCCCAGGCCATTAGCAGTGAGCTGGATTGGAAGTGGGGCAGCCAGGTCTCAGACCGGTGCCTGTATGGGATGCTGGCTCTGCAGGCAGACGCTTAACCTGCTGTGCCACAACACTGGCCCCAGTGTGTTGAATTTCGAGTCCTGCTTGTGGTTGCCTGGGCAGGGCCAGGCCAGGTTCTGAGGGGTGTATGTGGTCCCCAGGCCAGACGTTGCCCACCCTGATAGAGGAGGTGACACTGAAGCTGTGGTTTCTCTGGAGACGCTGATGCTTGGCCACCAGTTCCCCCTCCAGCTGGAGGGAGCTCCTGCTGGGCATGGACCTCCTCTGGGCTCCTCTGGGGTCTCTGGGGTGATCGTATCTGGCAGGGTGCGCTCCAGGCCAGGGGAGTCTGCTTCTGTGGTTCTGGCAGGTGCTTTTTTTTTTTTTTTTTTTTTTAATTTTATTTGAACGTTCAGCCTCCCTGGGTTTCTGATGTGGGACGACAGTGAAAACCGCTACTGTTGATGGAAGCGAGTGCCAGAGACCAGAAGAGAGCCAAGTTCAGCCTGGCCAAGGCAGTCCCAGTGGCCACCTGTGGTGCCTTCATCCCACACAGCTCGTGGGAGACAGCTCTCTGTTTCACTGCAGTCTAAGGCCGGTTCCTGCCTTGGCAGGTCCTGTTGACCTCTGCCCGAGGCTGCGTCCACTGTGGGCTGCTGTCTGACTCCGCGGGACAGTGGATTTTCTGCTACTGTCCTTCCCACATCCCACCCTTGTGTGTGGTGCTGGGCATATGTTACATTACAGCAGGCTCACTGCTCCTGTTTTGACTTTTAATTCACTGTGCTGTAACCCATTGTGTCTTAGGGTTCTCCAGAAAAGCAGAACCAATAGGAGATAGCGGGAGAGGGAGAGGGGGAGAGAGAGAGAGAGAGAGAGAGAGACAGAGAGGCTGGGAGACTGGGGTTTGTTAGGAGGAAATGGGTCATGTGATTACGGGGCCCAAGCCATGTGCGGGCTGGAGGCTTGGGAACGCCCCTGTTACTTCAGTCTGAGTGCTGGAGCCTGGGGCAATGGTGTGGACCCCACCTGAGGAGGGGATGTGGCCCAGCTCAGGGGGCAGCTGGGAGCAGAAGAGACACGTTCCCCAGCTCTGCCTTTGCTCTGCTCAGGCCCTCAGCAGACACGTCTGCTCTCCCAAGTCCGTAGGCTCTCACCCAGACAGCCCACCAGAGGTCGTCCTCAGTGTGTGTGCCCTGTGGCCATGCAGCTGGCATGCAGCATGAACTCTCACACGTTTTCTGCTCATGGGACCTTAGATTTGGCCTTGGGAAGGAAAGGAAAGTGAGGAAGAAACATTAGCTATGCCAGCCCACGCACAGGAGAAAGGTGCTGTCACCGGGAGCTGAGGAAGAGTGGGGCCCCTGGAACCCCGTGCACCTGCACATACATGTCTTCTTTATGAAACCCAAAGACGTTGCTCAGTAAGCTCTTCTTGACTGGCTGTTAAATACTGAAATACAAACGAACATGACTGGAGCCTTTCCTGGCTGTGGTAGGCAGACTGAATTGTATTTATGGGTTTCAGTTCGCTTGGAATTTTTTTTTAAAGATTTATATATTTATTTGAAGGCAGAGTTACTGTCGCTGGTATTTTGGTCACAAAGGCTGCAATCCAGGAATTCTATATGGGTGCTGGTTCACATCCCAGCTGTCCCCCTCTGACCCAGCTCTCTGCTAAGGCCTGGGAAAGCAGCAGAGGATGACCCGAGTGCTTGGGGCCCTGCACCCACGTGGGAGACTTGGAGGAATCTGCTGGCTCCTGGCTCCCAGCTTTGGCCTGGCCCAGCCCAGCCCAGTCATTTTGGCCATTTGGGGAATGAACCAGTGGATGGGAGCCACCCCACCCCACCCCGCACAACTCTACCTTTCAAATAAACAAAGAATTAAAAAAAAGAAAAAAAGGGAGAGAGAGAGAGCTCTATCTATCTTTCATAACTGGTTCACTCCCCATGGCCACGATGGCCAGAGCTGCGCCATGTTGAAACCAGGAGCCCAGAGCTCCATTCAGGTCTCCTGTGTCAGTGTCAAGGACCCAGGCACTTGGGCCATCTTCTGACTGCCTTCCCAGGTGCATTAGCAGGGAGCGGAATTAGAATGGAGCTTTAGGGCTTGAACTGGCATTCCAACATCGGATGCTGGCATTGCAAGCAGCAGCTTAAACCACTTTGCCACCGTGCCTGCTCCCTCCAAATATTGGTAAATAGGGGCTGGCGTTGTGGCATTGCCAGTTAAGCTACCACCTGTGACACCGGCATCCTGTGTGGACACGGGTTCAAATCCCAGCTGCCCCACTTCTGATACAGCTTCCTTCTGATGCTTCTGAGAAAGCAAACAGAGGATGGCCACATGTTTGGGCCCCTGCACCCACGTCGGAGACTCAGATGAGGCTCTGGGCTCCTGGCTTTGTCTGGCCCAGCCCTGGCCATTGTGGCCGTTTGGGGAATGAACCAGTACATGGAAGATCAATCGATTGATTGATCTCTCTCTCTCTTTTTCTCTCTTTCTCTCTTTCTGCCTCTCCTCTCTGTAACTCTGATTTTCAAATACATAAATCTTCAAAAACAAAATTATTGGTAAATAGTTCTTGAATGAACATGTTATTTAGAAGTACTAAAATGTGGACTGTTACTGTGAAGTATAAATGTTTTTGAAATGCAGGTTTTTCTCAATCTTTCCTTGCATTCTTCCAAGTCTATTAATTTTATTTTTGCCACTCTTCTTACACATTAGATGGCTTCTCCAGAAGAGAAATGCCAACAAGTTTTGGAGCCACCTTATGATGAAATGTTTGCAGCTCATCTAAGGTAATCACTGTTGGGGAAGAAAACATAGGGAAGTGGGTGGCCACGTTGAGAATTAGGTCTTGGATTAACTTATGCTTGAGGCATGCTACTTTGAAAAGTAGCAGAGGTGTTTTGTAATTTCACTTTGCTAAATCTGCGAGAACTGTATATTCGTGTAATGTGTATAAACCGCTTCAGTATTGATAGGAGGGTGTTTTATCTAGAGGAGTACAGAGCATAGCCGTTGGCTGGCTTTTTAAGGGAGATGTGTCTTTTTTTTTAACCTGCTTGCCTGTCTGAGAAACTGGAGTTGAGAAAAGCATACACACACTATTTTTTTTAAGTTTATTTATTTATTTATTTGACAGGTAGACTTATAGACAGTGAGAGAGAGAGAGAGACAGAGAGAAAGGTCTTCCTTCCATTGGTTCACTCCCCAAATGGCTGCAACGGCCGGAGCTGTGCCGATCCAAAGGCAGGAGCCAGGTGCCTCCTCCTGGTCTCCCATGTGGGTGCAGGAGCCCAGGGACTTGGGCCATCCTCTGCTGCCCTCCCAGGCCACAGCAGAGAGCTGGACTGGAAGAGGAGCAGCTAGGACTAGAACCGGAGCCCACATGGGTTGCCGGCGCCACAGGCGGAGGATTAACCTAGTACGCCACGGCGTCGGCCCCAACAAACTCTTAATTTGCACGTCATAGCTGCTCTTTGTCTATAGCATTGACTTGGGCAGAACGTTATGTCTTGGTGATCGTGGTATCTCCCCTGCCAGGTAAGTACAGAACGTTGTGCCTTGCAGAGAGTTGGTGCCCTCCTTCTCACTTCCTGTACTCTGAGCAGGCGGGGGCGTCGTGAGCAGGAAGCTCTGGACGCCTGTGGTGTCTTGGGGAGATTGGGCTGTCCTGGTGCTTGACAGGCAGCCTGGGAGTCTAGTCAGCTGCTGACCGTGGAGGGGCCACACAGTCTTGGCAATGCCTGTCACTTCCTCATCAAACCTGCTGGGACTAGGTTTTTCCTTCTGGGACTTGAAAGAAAGCTTAATGTGGGATTTCATCTTTATTTATTTAAAAAGGAGACTGACAGGGGTGGGGGGGGAGAGATTGATCTTCCATCTACTGGTTTACTCTGCAAATGGCTGCAACAGCCAGGTCTGGGCCAGGCCAAGTCCAGGAGCCAATAACTCCATCCAGGTCTCCCACATGGATGACAGGGACCCAGATACTTGGGCCATTTTCCACTGCTTTCCCAGGTGCAGGGAGCTGGGTCAGAGCACAGTATCTGGTACTCAGACCGGCACTCTGATTTGGGATGCTGGCAGCATTAATGTGTGCCGCAGCACTGGCCCTGGATTTCAACTTTTACCAACTTGTTTTGTTTAGAATGGTCATTTGTGCGTTTCTTCTTTCAACGCTGAGTTGCCCACCAAGCGGGAGTCCCAGCTTTCCTTCCAGGACGTGTGTGACAGCAGTGCTGCGTGGTCTGCACAGACCTGTGGGTTTTTGTGTCAGTCGCTTTCTGATGACGCCATCCTGCTGCTTCTTCTGATGCTTCTCTTCCAGGTGCACTTACGCCGTGGGGAACCATGACTTCATAGAGGCGTACAAATGCCAGACGGTGATAGTCCAATATCCTTTCTGTCTTGGGAGCTTCCAGTGTGTAGCAGAGTGGATGTCTGGGGCTGAAGATCTTGTTCAGCTATAGTTAGAAAAAAATTAAATATTTTGAAGGAAAAACTGCTTTTAGCTACTTGGATGTTAAGATTTATCCGGTTACTGAGCTGGTAAGGACGCCCACCGGTCACTCGTCCAGCTGCTGGGCTGGTGGTAAGCATAGTTACAGCAACCGATTAAGTCCCTTTGGTGAAATGTCAGAAGTCTGCAATGAGGCGTACATGGACTAGCATGCACTCAGATGCGTGGTCACTTGATCACTAAAGACCTTTGTCAAGCTTATCTTATAGTTAAGGTTTAATCAATCTATTGACTCTAGTTTGCTTTTCAGAAGACTATCTTGTTTAGATATACCAGACCAGAATGGGCACAAACCAAGTAAATCTGGGAATTCAAGATTTATTGCCACTTAGACTACAGACACAGAAGCATGCAAACATACCTTGCTGTGATCTCCTGGGCTCAGTGAAGCCAACACTGTTTGAAAGCATTGATTTTTTTTTTTTTTATGAAAACATTGATTTAAAAGAAAATCTTATGTCTACAAGTCTTTGGAGAAAGTATGAAATAAATGTGTTTGGTATACATGTCCTTGTGACATTCAGGTATTTGTCATGTGAGTGTGTGTTTTTTGCTTCAGAAACTCAAGGCTGTAGTGTGTCGGCGTTTGCAGAGTGGGGCTTATGGCTTAAAATTGGCAGCTCTCCTTCCTCTGTGTCTTTAGCGTGTGAGCTTGTGCCTTCCTTGACACAGCACGTCATTCCTGCGAGCGTTTCAGGCCCACAAGGAAGAAAACTGGTGAGTGAGCAGCAGCAGGTGGCAGTTCTGTTTTTGCAGAAGCTCTCAAAAGATTTGCTTTACATAACAGTGGATTGCACTTCATGTGACTGTTTACAGACAGTGGAGTTGTGACAGTTGCGTGAATGTGGACGGAAGGTCAGCCAGGCCTGTTTGTGTTGTGCCTAAAACATAAAGTGGTAACTTTGGTTTAAGCGCTTCCATGCCCCCAGATATTTGTTAAATGCTATTTTGTCTTCAGTTGTCAATTTGCAGTTTACTTTTTTTTTAAGATTCATTTATTACTTGAAAGGCAGAGAGATCTTCCATCTGCTGGCTTACTCCCCAGATAGCCGTGATGCTCAAGGCTGGACCAAACCAAAGCCAGGAACCAGGAACTCCATTGGGTCTCCCACGTGGGTGCAGGGCGCAGGTGCTTGGGCCGTCTTCTGCTGCTTTCCCAAGTGCTTCAGCAGGGAGCTGGATGGGAAGTGGAGCAGCCAGGACTCTAACTGGTGCTCGTATGGGATGCTGGCGCTGCAGGCAGCGTCTTAACCCACTGTGCTATTATGTCACTCTGCTTTTTTAAAAAAGCTTTGTAAAAGAAGTAGACTGGACCGCGCCGTGGCGCACTAGGTTCATCCTCTGCCTGTGGTGCCGGCATCTCATATAGGCGCTGGTTCTGGTCTCAGTTGCTCCTCTTCCGGTCCAGCTCTCTGCTATGGCCTGTGAAAGCAGTGGAGGATGGCCCGGGTGCTTGGGCCCCTGCACCCGCATGGGAGACCAGGGCGAGGCTCCTGGCTTCGGATTGCTGCAGCTCTGGCCATAGCGGCCATTTGGGGAGTGAACCAGCAGAAGGAAGACCTTTCTCTCTGTCTCTCTGTCTCAATGTCTGTAACTCTACCTGTCAAATAAAAGAAAGTAGACCAACTGCAATTCATTTGGGGTAATGTAACTCATGATAATTGGGCTGTTTTAAATCCCTTGTCAAACTAATTCTTTGTTGTGTGATTGATTGACAAGCTATAGGTGGATTTTATCGAAAATAGCCAAGTGTCCTTTCCCTCTTTAAGTAGACTCAGCTTGCCCAGGAAAGGAGCCCCGCGAGGTCAGCTAGACAGAGCAAGTAGTTGTGTGACATTCTGTGTCCCTCCGAGGAAATTACTAAGCCACAGCTTTTTAAATGGAGGTGTTTGGGTAGTGGTGGAGGGCTGAGGGGAAGGGGATACTGGATGACCCTAGAGGGACCAGGGTCTGGGCCTCTGGTCAAACAGCAGGAGTTTGGCCTGTGGGCTGGCTAGGAAGCTTGGCTGCAGCCTGCCGGCTGGAGGTGAGGAAGCAGACAGCAGCCATCAGATGATAGCAGGTGGACCCTGTTCTGGAGGGCGGTCCTGGGCTCTGGTGGTCGTCTCACCTCGTTTGCTCTTCTCCCTGTAGGGCTCTGCCTGTCATGTATGCTGTAGCGCTTGACCTTCGAGTGTTTGCCAACAATGTAAGTGCAGTTTCCTGTCATGGTGGTTTGCGAGCTGGCATTTGCTGACTGACTGCTGCGTGCTTCCATGTCACTCTTTCCAGAAGCTCCGCGGACTGAGTGGGTGCGGGGAGCACCAGGACAGGAGCCGTGGCCGACACAGGCAGATTTAATAAGTCAGGCCCAGAATTCCACACTTGGTATGGAGGGGGGGCTTCCACACGTGCTTCGCTATCTGTGTCCTGTCCCCTGGCCTGAAGAATGCTGGCCAAACATAGGTTCAGGCAGTAGCTGCAGCCTCTCTGGTGTGAGGGAGAGATCCTGGGTTTTATGGAAGTTCCCTTGGGTGATCCGGTAAACTAAATGAGCTGTAGTTGTCTTAGAATGACCTCCTTATAGTTTTAGAAGTATTGATGACTTCTGATTCTGGACAGATATCTCCCTGTTCCTCTTTCTAAAGACAGTGAAAACCCTGGGAGCTTATTTAGCTTAGAAGCAGAGAGAGAGAGAGTTTGTATGTACTCACATCTGCTCGCTCTCGTCTAGATGCCTAGGTCTGGGGACTCAGTCCAGGGCTCCCGTGTGGATGGGGGGACCCCACCACTGGAGTCATTACTGCGGCCTCCCACCGTCTAAAGTAGCAGGAAGCTGGACTTGGAGCTGGAGCTGGGGATTGAGCCCAGGTGCTCTAATAAGGAGGCAGGCGTCCTGACTTTGTGACTGCTAGGCCGAATGCCTGTGCTGAAGTTGTTTTTTTTTTTTTTTAAGGTTTATTTATTAATAGGAAAGTTACACAGAGATAGAAGGAGAGGCAGCGAGAGAGAGCGAGTGAGCGAGCTTCCATCCACTGGTTCAGTCCCCAGTTGGCTGCAACGACTGGAGCTACACCAGTCTGAAGCCAGGAGCCAGGAGCTTCTTCCAGGTCTCCCATGTGGGTGGAGTTGGGCCATCTTCCACTGCTTTCCCAGGCCACAGCAGAGAGCTGGATCAGAACTGGAGCAGCCGGGTCTCAAACCGACAGCCGTATGGGATTCTGGCAGTGTAGGCGGCGACTTCAGCTGCTACGCCACAGTGCCAGCCCTCGTCCTTACGTTTTAGTCCTTTAATGTTTAGTGTGACAGAAGCTGTCTGGGTTCTCTTAGCTCTTTGGCACTCATCATTTTCCAAGACGTTGCTTTGACTGCGGCAGTTGAAGGCACGGTGGCCTCACCAGGTGCAGATGGTACACGGAGCTTTTTCCATCGTTGCAGCGGATTCCTGCTCGATGCTGCACACAGATTCCAAGAGGCAGTTTTGAAAAGTTAGACTGCGCTCAGGAGGCGGCTTGAGCCTCACCCACCGTGGCCCTGGGGCCCGCTGGCCTGGCCTGTGCTGTGGGTGGGCCGCTCACCTGTGCATGCTTCCGTAGTGCCATCGCTGGCCCGTCTGGGTCCATTTGGGCTGCTGAAAGGATGGTTTCTCAGGCTGCAAGGGCAGTGTCAGACGGCTGGCAGGTTGAGCAGGTTGTGAGGCCCTGCTGCCTGGTTCACAGCGGGCGGTGCCCTCACTGTGTCCTCAGCGGGGCAGGGGGCGCTGAGCCCTCACGAGGACCGTGCACTCATGACCTCCTCGCTGTTAGGCTAATGTGACCAAGACCACCGAACGAGACTACACTGGGATAAGGTGTGAAAGCGTTTATTGGGGGCAGAACTGCCAGGCTGTCTCGAAGGAGGCATCAGCCGCCGCAGTCTGACAGTGAGGGGCTTCATGTATGCTGTAGTGGGGGGAGCATGCTTGTGGCTGGAACAGCCTGCAGCCGGGGCCGGGGGGTTGTTTAGGAAGTTTGCTGTCTACTGTGAGATTTCCTTGTAGCAGTGAAAGTGCTGTTCTGCGGGAACGAAAGGGTGCGGGTTGCAGTTGCAGTCGTGGGGGCTGCTCCTCGTTCGCTTGCACAGCACAGCTTGTAGGCACGTTTTCTTGGGTGCTGTAACACTCACTTGCTCAAGGCCGCCTCCTGATGTCACCTTGGAGCTTAGGGTTCCAGCACAGGAATTCAGGCTGTAGCAGGCCATGGAAAGTTCTGGCCACTGAGCTATGCAGCAGTTTCAAACATTAGCATACTTCAGTATGTTTACAGAGAACCTGGTGGGGGCGTTTGGCCTAGCAGTTTAGGACCTGGGTTCCCACCTGCCTGTAACTGCCTGACGCGATGGGCTGTAGGAGGTGGTGGTGGCGCAAATCACTGGGCTCCAGCCACCTTCAGGGGAGACCTGGGTTGAGGGGCTGGCTCCTGGCTGTGGCCTCTGGCCCCGGGCCATTGTGGGCATTTAGGGAGTAAACCAGCAGATGGGAGCTCTCTGTCTTTCTGCCTCTCAAGTGAATTAATTTTAAAAATCCCACCAAAACTCAGATCTCCATGTGTTTGTTAAGGTCGTCAGTGACCTCATCAGAAAAGTCTTGAAGTTGGGAGAAGCCGCCAGACTCAGCAGTGGTCTCTCCAGACTTCTGATTTTGACTTGAAGGTGCAAGCTTTCATTCACTGTGGACGCTACCCTAGTAGCCACGTGCAGCTGTCACTTACCTGTTCAGCAGGAGTAGCAGGTCTCACTTGTGAGCGCTCTTTGTTGAGATGCTGCCGCGGACTGGTGTGTGTGACACACAGAGTGCTCCCGTCTCATCACAGAGCGTTATGAATTCATGTGATATTAATTGTGTCATCAGGAACATTTGATAGAGAAAGAGAAGTGGCTACAGTAGTCATGACTGGGTCAAGCCCGAGCCAAGAGTCCAGGGCTTATCTGGTTCACCCATGTGGTTGGCAGGGACCCAGTCCTTTGGCCATCACTGCTGCCCTCCAGGGTGCTCCCCAGCAGAGCTGGGACTCTCCAACTCAGGCACTCCAGTGTGGAATGGGGGTGTCCCAAGTGGTATCTAACTGCCAGGCCACACACCAGTGCCCATGGAACTGTGATCTTTAACCAGAACTTTCCTTCAGCCCTTGGAGAGAACCACGCCTCATTAGAGCGTCCGCCTCACCAGCTTCCCCGGGAGGGGGCGGGAGCATGCTTCCACGCTTTTTTCTAAGTGTTTGTCTTTAGTTTTGGTTCGGGCAAAATGTTAAACATTCATTTTGAGCCAAAAATAAAAATTAATTTCATACTAAAAAAAAAAACTTTCCTTCTAAAAGCAAAGGGAGAGTCGAGCTTAGTGGTGACTTTAATGTCTGTGGACTTTAATGTCATGCTGAGGGAAGTCGGCAGTTCAGAGACTCAGAGCCTCCTGGTGGCCCGGCTCTGAGGCAATGCAGGATTCCGTATTGGGGACTTAGCAGCGTGAGTTAGTGGAAGGAGGAGGTGACTTCTGGAAGAGTCAGGATAATGTGCAGACGTCTTAACTGTCCAGACATCGCGGCATCCGAGCAGTTGATTTCTCCAGGACTTGTCAAGTTTGACTTCTAACTGTACCCAGTTTTGGCTTTCGAAATGTTTCTGTGTTCCGCTAGGCAGACCAGCAGTTGGTGAAGAAAGGGAAGAGCAAAGTTGGGGACATGTTGGAGAAAGCGGCCGAGCTGCTGATGAGCTGCTTCCGCGTCTGCGCCAGCGACACGTGAGTACGGCGTCGCCACCCGGCAAGCCCAGCCGCCGCCTGCTCCACTGGGCACAGAGGCTTCTCTTCAACACGCGTGCCTCACGAGCCCTCAGGAACTGTCATTTTTACTTTAAAATAATGAGTTGTGTTGTGGAGGAAATGAGCAAAAAGGAAAGCGGGTCTCCTGCGCCGGCTCGCGCCTTCACTGCCGGGGAGGGGAGGCTCCACCTGGGGCATCCCCTTTGCTCTCAGGAGCTGGGCTCAGCAGTCTCTGCTGGGATGGTCAGTGACGACGAATTCTCTAGGCCTCGCCTCGCCAGGTTGTCTTTGTTTTTCTCCATCTTTGAAGAAGTGTTTTGCTGCCTGGAGACTTGTGTGTTGACTCTTGCTTCCTTCTAGCAGTTAAAAATGTCATTCCTGAGGCCAGCATGGATGCAGGGGTTCAGCACCCATAGCCACATCCCAGAGAGGAGTGCTGGTTCAAGTCCTGGCAGAGCTACTTCTTTTTTTCTTTTTTTTTTTTTTTGCCCCCCCCCCCACCTCCCTCCCTCCCGCGGCCCTCCCCTCTCCCACTCCTTCTCCCATCCCGCCCTTCATCGTGTTTCATTTTCAATCACCTTCATATACGGAAGATCAACTTAGTATACACTAAGCAAGGATTTCAACAGGCTGCACTCACACAACCGCACAAGGTATAGGGCATTGTTCAACTAGTAGTGTTGTTTTTAAGTTTCATAGTAAAACACATTAAGGACAGAGATCCTACGTGGGGAGCCTGTATTCAGTGACTCCCGTTGTTGATTTAACAATTGGCACTCTTATTTATGACATCAGCAATCACCCGAGACTCTTGCTATGAGCTGTCTAGGCTATGGCAGCCCCTTGAGTTCACCGACTCTGAACTTGTTTAGTCAAGGCCATATCACAGTGGAGGTTCCTTCCTCCCTTCAGAGAAAGGCGCCTCCCTCCTTGATGGCCTGTTCCTTCTGCTGGGGTCTTGTTCACCAGGATCTTTCATTTAGATTGTTTTTTGCCACCGTGTCGTGGCTTTCCATGGCTGTGAGACTCTCATGGGCCTTTTAGCCAGATCCGAATGCCCCAAGGGTTGATTCTGAGGCAGGAGTGCTGTTTGGGCATTTGCCATTCTATGAGTCTGCTGTGTGTCCTGCTTCCCCCACAGAATCATACTCTCCCTTTTAATCCTCTCCTTCATTGTTTGCTTACACTGGTCTTATTTGTGAAATCTCTTCGACACTTACCCTGTCTTTTTGATCGGTTGTGTATTTATGCTTACCACTTTACCAAGGGCACTGCAGAGCCACTTCTGATGCAGCTCCTTGCTGACGGCGTCTGGGAAGGCAGCAGAAGGTGGCCCAGGTGCTTGGGCCCCTGCACCCTCGAGGGAGACCCGGATGGAGCTCCCAGCTCCTGGCTTCAGCCTGGCCCCAAAATTAGCTGTTCCAGCCATTTGGGGAGTGAACCAGCAGATCTCTCTGTCTCTGTCTCTCTCGCTGTGCCTTTCAACGTAAGGAAAGACAGGCACACAGCTTTTAAAAGCGTGTTCCTCCTCTGATTCTTTGTTTCTGATGTGGAGTCGTTGTCTTCCTTACTGTTGCTTCCTGCTGTTCCTGGGTCTTCCCCGGGCTGCGTTTTCTCTGTATCGTTGGCTTTTGAGAACTTGCGTCTGCTGTGTCTTGTTTTTAAAATTTCCACTGTGGTTCAAGAAGTTTCTTGTATTTGTTTTTGTTTTTTTTTTTGTTTGTTTGTTTTTGGTTTTTTTTTTTTTTGTAATTTATTTTTTTTATTTGACAGGTAGAGTTATAGACAGTGAGAGAGAGACAGAGAGAGAGGTCTTCCTTCCATTGGTTCACTCCCCTAATGGCCGCTGTAGCCGGCGCTGCGCCGATCCGAAGCCAGGAGCCGGGTACTTCTTCCTGGTCTCCCATGGAGGTGCAGGGACCCAAGCACTTGGGCCATCCTCTGCTGCCTTCCCGGGCCACAGCAGAGAGCTGGACTGGAAGAGGAGCAACTGGGACTAGAACCCAGCGCCCCAACCGGGACTAGAACCCGAGGTGCCAGCGCCTCAGGCAGAGGATTAGCCTAGTGAGCCATGGCGCTAGGCAGTTTCTTGCATTTGTGAGCCATGGCGCTAGGCAGTTTCTTGCATTTGTAAGCTGATGTTTTTCATTAGATTTTTAATTTTTTTTTTTTTTTTTTTTTTGAGAAGCAAAGGGACATAAGAGAAGGAGCTCCCGTCCACAGGGCCACTCTCCAAGTGCCTGCAGGCGGCTGGGCTGGGCCGGGCTGAAGCTGGGAGCCAGGAGCGCCATCCATTTCTCCCACGTGGGTAACAGAGACCCAGCCACTTGAGCCATTCCCACTGCCTCCCAGGTCTCGCATCAGCAGGAAACTGGGCAGGAATTGAACCCAGGCGCTCTAGGCGCTCTGATGTGGGATTTGGGCATCTGAACTGCCGGACCAAATAATTGCCTCCAGATTTACTTTTTCATTTTTTTTTAAAGATTTTATTTATTTATTTGAAAGTCAGAGTTAGACGCAGGAGAGGCAAAGAGAGAGAGAGAGAGAGGTCTTCTATCCAATGGTTCACTCCCCAAATGGCCGCAACAGCTGGAGCTGTGCAGATCCAGAGCTAGGAGCATCTTCTGGGTCTCCCACATGGGTGCAGGGCCCCAAGGACTTGGGCCATCCTCTGCTGTTTCCCAGGACATAGAAGAGAGCTGGATTGGAAGTGGAGCAGCTGGATCTTGAACCAGCTTCCACATGGGCTGCTGGTGCTTCAGGCCCTGGCATTAACCCACTGCGCCACAGCGCTGGCCCCCAGAATTACTTTTTTAATACTCTTCTCTCTGCTGCATTTCTTTAGTATTATTATTCTTATTGGTTAAAGATTTATTCATTTATTTGAAAGAGTTACACAGAAAGAGAGAAGGAGAGAGAGAATGGTCTTCCATCCGCTGGTTCACTCCCCAGTTGGCTGCAATGGCTGGAGCTGCACCAATCTGAAGCCAGGAGCTTCTTCCAGGTCTCCCACGTGGGGGCAGGGCCCAAGGATTTGGGCCATCCTCTACTGCTTTCCCAGGCCATGGCAGAGAGCGGGATTGGAAGTGGAACAACCGGGACTTGAACCGGCACCCATATGGCATGCCAGCACTGCGCGCAGGGTTTCCTGCTGTGCCGCAGCGCTGGCCCCTCAGCTGCGCTTTGGGCCCGTTCTTTCTGTTCTCCTGTGGGGCTTCCAGTGCTGCGTGTGTTGGCAGGACCTGGCGCTCTGGTGTTGCTCACCTGCCCCCTCCTCTGGGCGGTGCGTGCCTTGCGGGGGACTGAGCGCGTCTGCCATTGCTTGTTTCATTCCAGACTTCCCTCTGACTCTGCTTCAGAGCTCCGTTTTTCTCCTAAACTCCACCCCGTCACCCCTGGTAGAGGCATACTTCCTGAGGAGGAGTTTTGGGAAATTGTAAGGTTTGTGTGTGTGACAACTGCGCAGCACCTGGGACTCCCAGGAAGTAGTTGCACTTTGCATGTCCCTCCTCTTGGCCCAGGGTGTCCCCACCCAGTCCCCTTCTGGACGCCCAGCCAGATCTGGACTCACTTCCCTCTGGGGTCTTCCACAGTGTTGTTCCCACCCCCAGAGCCCGGCAGACTGCACTGCCTGAGGGGTGGCTGGGTGCTGTTGTGATGCAGGGGCGTCGGGCAGGGCTCCATCACTAGTGTCTCCGCAGGAAACCTCTGCCAGACAGTCCTTACCGCAGCGCCTGTGCCCTCGGTCTGACGGTGCTTTCTCAGGATTTTACCAAGAGCGGTGTAATTGCAGAAAGAGATATTTGCAGATAATGTATCTGATAAGGGTCTAATCCCCAGAAGATACAAAGAACAATCCGACACTCTAATTTAGAAGTGGGCTGAAGGGCCGGCAGATCTGATGAGGATGCCCTAGTGGCAGTGAGCATGCAGCAGGTGTTCAGCACCATCAGTCCCCAAGCAGGTGCAGCTTGGGCCACAGTGAGCCGCCCCCCACCGCCATCCGGTTGGCTGTTGTCAAAAAGGCAGGTGGTGAGTTGCAGTGGGGGGGGGGAGGGGACACAGAAGCCTGTACCCTTTCACCCTGCAGGTGGGAGGTGCAGGGTTGGGAAGGGGGCACAGAAGCCCGCACCCTTTCACCCTGCAAGCAGGAGCTGCTTCGCAGGCAGCCACCTCGCAAGGTGGAACCTGGAGATAACCAGTGGCCAAGCAGTTCTGCTCCCAGGTTTGTGTCCCCTGGGGTTTGCCTTTGTTACCTGTCTCCCAGGAAGCCCCCCAGGTGCTCCGGGTCCCTGTTTCCAGACCAGTCAATAACAGAGGACTTGTCTGTGCACTTCCTATCTTCTTGTTTTGTCTTGTTTCTCGGGCCCCTGACTTTGAAGTTGGCAGAAGGGTCCCCGTTTGGGGATGAGGAAAGTGAAACCCAGAAAGCAGAGCGTGGCTCGAGGTCCCACTGCAAGTTAGTGACACCGTGGTCGTGCGAGGAGCCGGCTCTGGCTGCTCTGGGGCAGCCGGGACTCCAACTGGTGCCCATATGGGATACTGCAGGCAGCGGCTTTACCCACTACTCCACAGCACCGGCCCCTTCTTTTCTTTTTAAGATTGATGTATTTGAAAGGCAGAGTGTGAGGGGGAGAGAGATCAATTGATGCCTTGTGGGCTGGGTTTAGGACCTAAATTAATTTTCCAACTCTTGTCTTTACTTAGAGAAGAATTCTAAATACAGGCCCAAACACGGCATGCAGTGTGCTGGACTTTCCTTACAAAGTGAGAAAAATACACAGGCCTATTAGGGCCTTACTAAGGGAGAATGGGGGCCAGTGCCGCGGCTCACTAGGCCTGTGGCGCCGGCACACCAGGTTCTAGTCCCAGTCGGGGCACCGGATGCTGTCCCGGTTGCCTCTCTTCCAGGCCAGCTCTCTGCTGTGGCCTGGGAGTGCAGTGGAGGATGGCCCGAGTGCTTGGGCCCTGCACCCCATGGGAGACCAGGAGAAGCACCTGGCTTCTGCCTTCAGATCAGCGCAGTGCGCTGGCCACAGTGTGGCGGCCATTGGAGGGTGAACCAACGGTAAAGGAAGACCTTTCTCTCTGTCTCTCTCACTGTCTAACTCTGCCTGTCAAAAATAAAAAAAAAAAAGGGAGAATGGGGCCAAAGGACGGGAATTATCATACCCTGCTGCGCTCGTCCTGAGTCCACGTGGAGGAGAGCGCAAGCTTCTATTCTTCTAGCTTTTTTTTTTTTTTTTTTTTTTTTTTTTTTTTTTTTTTGACAGGCAGAGTTAGAGAGACAGAGAGAAAGGTCTTCCTTCTGTAGGTTCATCCCCCAAATGGCTGCTACGGCTGGTGCACTGTGCCAATCCGAAGCCAGGAGCCAGGTGCCTCTCCTGGCCTCCCATGTGGGTGCAGGGCCCAAGCACTTGGGCTATCCTCCACTGCACCCCCCGGGCCACAGCAGAGAGCTGGCCTGGAAGAGTAGAAACCAGGACAGAATCCGGCGCCCCGACCGGGACTAGAACCCGGTGTGCCGGTGCCGCAGGATCTATCTAAGCTGTCCCATGTCAGATGGATCTTAAATCCACTGGTTCACTTCCCAAATGGCCACAACAGCCAGGGCTGGACCAGGCCAAAGCCAGGAGCCAGGAACTCTGTTGTGGTCTCCCACATGAGTGGCAGGGACCGAAGTACTTGGACCATCACCTGCTGCCTTCCCAGGTGCATTAGCAGGGAGCTGGATTGGAAGCAGAGCAGCTGGGACTCAAAGCAGTACTCAGATGGGATTGCATGTGGCAGCCTGACCACTGCACCACGGCCGCCCGGCCTGGTCCTCGCAGGCGGCCTGACCACTGCACCACAGCCGCCCGGCCTGGTCCTCGCAGGCGGCCTCTCCACGGCTGCCCGGCCTGGTCCTCGCAGGCGGCCTTTTCCTGGGCCTCTCTGCACTGCAGTCTGGAGGTCTGCACACTCAGTGTAGAAGAATCCTTTGCATGGGCCCCGTGCTGTGGCGTAGCAGGTAAATCCACCTTCCAGCCAGTGGTAGAAGAGCTCCCTCACTCTCTCTCTGTAACTTTGACTTTCAAATAAAAAATAAAAATCTTTTTAAAAAAATCCCTTGCAGAGTGGCAATATATGGCTGACTGGCTCTGAAACTTTTTCAGCTTTATCATGAAAGATTTCAAACATTGAGCCAAGTTGAAAGAATCTTGCGGTAACTCACTGTCTCCCCACCGCGTCTTCACACTTAGCACACTTGCTGTGGGGAATGCTCGTGTCTTTCTCCACCGCCTGCCCCCTTTCCTCAGTATTTCCCTGAAATACAGTTCAGAGTTCATTGGAAGCATTGGCCACGCTCCCTGGTACTTCAGGTTCTCTGTTACCTTCTGGGCGAGATTCACATGCAGGGAGTCCACGAATCCTAGCTGTGTGTTGGCTGAGGTTTGAGTGCACACAGCCGGTGTCAGCCCTGGCCCACTGGGGAGGGGACATTCCTGTCACCCCCACTCGCTGCCCCTCACTGCTGTTGACATTCTTGCTTCAGCACTTTTTTTTTTTTTTTTAAGAACTATTTTATTTCTTTGAAAGACAGTTACAGAGAGAGGTAGAGCCAGAGAGAGAAAGGTCTTCCATTTCACTAGTTCACTCCCCAAATGACTGCAACAGCCAGAGCTGAGCTGATCCAAAGTCAGGAGCCAGGAGCTTCTTCCGGGTCTCCCACACGGGTTTAGGCACCCAAGGAGTTGGGCCATCTTCTGCTTTCCCAGGCCACGGCAGAGAGCTGAATCAGAAGTGGAGTAGCCAGGACATGAACCGGCGCCCATATGGGATACTGGCGCTGCAGGTTGGGGCTTTAACCCACTGCGCCACAGCGCCGGCCCCGCTTCAGCACTTACTACAAACAGCTTCAGTGGGTGCTTTCTGTGTAGTTCATAAGTTCATTTTGTTGTGATGATGGCAGAAAGCAGGTTTCTATATTAAAAAAATAATAACAACAACTTTGTAGTAATTAGCTGTGCATCAGCAGACTGGCTACACCTCAGCTGGCGCGCCGGGGTGTGTGAGCTACATGCTTAGCTGGGATTCAAGCTCGTGGTTTGCTGGTTCTTCCTTTCAGTTTTACTTACTAGATAAGACATTATTTTCAGATTGCTATTTTGTTTGATGAGTATCACTGGAGTTGTGGGATTTTATCTCATGGTGATTTGTTTAGGCAGCTTATTTTGTGATTTATAAATACATTTTTTATTTCTTTTGTAATGTTAAAAACAATTATTTTCCCACAGTCGTGCTGGTATAGAAGATTCTAAGAAGTGGGGAATGCTGTTCTTGGTGAATCAGTTATTTAAAATTTACTTTAAGGTATGCTTGATATCTCTATGACCTCCCCACATCTTCCCAGATGTCGTGTTGTTTGTGTGGTTATTACCGGGCCTCCTGGCGTTGTCACTGTATTCACTGAGTGCCCACTAAGTGAAGGGCAGAGGACTTGTGTGCAGCGGCCTCCGAGGCCAGCGTTGCCAGCACAGGGAAGCCGACACCTGGTGTGCAGCGACTCGCCCCGTGTGGTGGACGGGGCATCCTGTGCACGAGTCTGGCTCGGACCTCCCGTCCTTGCTGAAATTATTACCGTGGGCTCATATGTCGCTGGGCGGAGAAGGGCCTCAGTGTTTGCTGTGTAAAGTCGGCCGAGTGAAGAGGGGCTGTCATGCGTGAGTGGCTGGGACTTGCCCCTCTGGCCCTGGGGAGCAGAGCCCCCAGCCTATCCTGCCTGTGTAGCCCCTTGCATCCCGGCACACTGCTCAGGGCCTGCCGGGGGAGCGCCGGCCCCACCAGGCAGCCTCTTGCTTCAGTTTTACTGTTCTGTGCAGATCTTGGTGGTGTAACAGGTTTGTGATTCTCAGTTTAAGGGGCAGGCCTGGTAAAGCAGACATTTACGTTTGTTCTGCCTCCTGTCTGGTGGTTCTTGTTGTTTATGTTGAACGATTGCTATCGTTATAGATCAACAAACTCCATCTGTGTAAACCCCTGATCAGAGCCATCGACAGCTCAAACCTGAAAGATGACTACAGCACTGCCCAGAGAGTGACCTACAAGTACTACGTTGGCCGCAAGGCCATGTTTGATAGTGACTTTAAACAAGGTACACGCGCGGCCACCCAGCCACACATGGGAGACTGCTCTCCCAACCCTCGAGCAATCCGACTGTTTTGGGAGCACAGTCATGGTGTTGTTATTTACGTAGAGTACAGATGCAAGTCTGGAGTTTTATTTTGTATGTATTTAATACGTTGAAGTTGACTAAATAGAAGAAAATTTCATTTGAAGGGTCTTAGTCTGCGCTGGGCTCCTGCAGGCCGCGCTGGGCTCCAGTGCCCGCTGCAGCCGAAGGTCCCTGAGCTTGACCCTTCTCCAGGGAGAGTCGGAGCCCGGGCTGCTGTCCTGTGCCTTGGGACCTGTCGCGTACGCTGGTGATGCTGACAAGGGAACTGGAAGGAAGGGCCCCGTAGAGCTGGGGACGGTGCCTGGGACACTCCACCTGCAGATGACTGCTCACTACCAGCTGGTAGTGAGGGGTGCCTAGCCCTGGCACCGTGTTTCATGGTTGTGGGTTTCCACACTAGCCATGGATGACGTCCCTACAGCACCAGTGCAGGGTTTCAGAAACTCAGATAGCATGCACCAAAAGTAGAAATTTACTTTTATTTTGCTTGAAAGGTAGAAAAAGAGACAGTTGTCTCCCATCCATGTGTTCATTCCCCAGGTGCCTCCGACATGTAGGGCTAGGGCCGGGCCAGGAACCTGGAGCTGTGCCCGCATCTCCTGAGCACTTGAGCCACAGCTGCAGCCTCCCAGGTGCACCTGAACAGGAAGCTGGGTGGGAGGCAGAGCCAGGCGCTCCCAGTACGGGCGGAGGGCGTTGCGCGTGGTGACCTAACCACTGCCCTGTGCCAAACGCGTGCCCTGCTCTTAAAATCTTGCATCAGCTGGCGGCAGGTGGTTCTTTATTTTCTCTTGTGTTCTGTTAAGGTCACACTTTAAAGCTCACTTTAGCTGTGTGTTGAGCTCGTTCTCCCAGGTACACCAAGCGTGTAACTTCAGGCAGCAGCTTTTCTCCCTTGGAGCCGTAGGCGCAGGCTCTCTGTCACGCTGATTCCTCTGGGTCTCACTGTGGCTTTTCGTCAGACAGTGTGGAGAGACGCTAACTTGGAGAGGTCGGTCTGGAGACAGCGTGTGGAGACGGGACTGGCACGGGGCCAGGCAGGAAGCAGAGGGCAGTGGGGCCCGGCGCGGCCCCTGCTGAGGATCTGGCTGCAAGGCTGCCGCCACCCACCGCCCTAACCATCAGCGTAAGGCTCTGGGGACCCGCCCCCATGCGCTGTGCACTGCCACTGGTCCGCAGCAGGCCTGTGCAGGCCAATAACCGCTTCCTTCTCCACAAGCATTCTAGTACTCTCGGGCTGTTTTTCTAGGATTTATTTATTCAATTGAAATGCAGAGTTAGAGAGAGGAGAGACAGAAATCTTGCACCTGCTGGTTCACTCCCTACAGGGCCACGATGGCTGGGACTGGGCCAGGCTGAAGCAGGAGCCAGCAGCAGCTGCTTCTGGAGGGTGCAGGGGCCCAGCACTTGGACTGTCTGCTGCTGCTTTCCTAGGTACATGAGCAGGGAGCTGGGTCAGAAGTGCAGGAGCCAGGACTCGAACCAGTACCCACACGGGAGGCTGACACTCCAGGTGGCCTCTCTGCCCGCTGCACCACAGCGCCAGCCCCTAGATCGAGGGCTTTTAAAAAAGGACTTTCTCGGGGCCGGCATTGTGGCGCAGTGGGTTAAAGCCCTAGCCTGCAGTGCCGGCATCCCATATGGGTGCTGGTTCGAGTCCCAGCTGTTCCACTTCCAATCCAGCTCTCTGCTGTGGCCTGGGAAAGCAGTGGAAGACGGCCCAAGTCCTTGGGCCCCTGCACCCATGTGGGAGACTTGGAAAAGGCTCCTGGCTCCTGGCTCCTGGCTCCTGGCTCCAGAATGGCCCAGCTCCAACCGTTGCAGCCAGCTGGGGAGTGAACCAGTGGATGGAAGATCTCTCTCTGTCTCTACCTCTCTCTGCAACTTTGTCTTTCAAATAAATAAAAAAATTTTTAAAATTTTAAAAAAAAGACTCTCATGGCTCTTCCCCAATCTGGTTTCTTTTCCCTCCAAATATAAACCGTGCAGGCAGAAGCTATGAAAGCATATTCTGTTAGGTCTGTTCTGGGGCTGCTGTGTCCCTCCTGCAGATGCAGTAGGTGGGGGTGTGCGTGCCTGACAGCCAGAGGTGGTTCATGAGTGTCATGGACGTTGTCTGGTGTCTCAGCCTCAAGCCCCTGTCATCCATCGCTCATTGTCTGGCAAAGAGACGGGAGGTCAGGGCTGTGATGTCCTGGAGCCACAGGCTTCTCGGTGCACAGCCTGGCCTTGTGCCCTTCAGCTCTTGGCGCATCTGCAGAGTCCCTGGGCCCTAGCTGGGTGTGAGTGGGCAGATACAGAGTCCCTGGGGTCCCTAGCTGGGAGAAGTGGGCATGTGCAGAGTCCCTGTGTCCCTCGCTGGGTGAAGTGGGCACGTGCAGAGTCCCTGGGGTCCCTCACTGGGTGAAGTGGGCACGTGCAGAGTCCCTGGGGTCCCTCGCTGGGTACAGTGGGCATGTGCAGAGTCCCTGTGTCCCTAGCTGGAAGAAGTGGACACGTGCAGAGTCCCTGGGCCCTCGCTGGGTGCAGTGGGCACGTGCAGGGTCCCTGGGCCCTCGCTGGTGCAGTGGTCTCTGCTGTGCAGTTAGTAGGTTGAATCGTGGCAGACTGAATCTTTGTATTTTGAAATTATTAAATTCAAGTCTGTTTCGTGAGACATGTTGCTGCCAGGATGCAACGAATATAAATAAATTAGGTGCCTGTTGGGTGTGTGGTGGTCCCGGGCGTCCCACAGCCACACTTAGCGTGTTCCCGTGAGCGTCCCGCAGCCACACTTAGTGTGTTCCTGGAGCGTCCCGCAGCCACACTTAGCGTGTTCCCGTGAGCGTCCCGCAGCCACACTTGGGCAGCGTGTTCCCGTGAGCGTCCCGCAGCCACACTTGGGCAGCGTGTTCCCGTGAGCGTGGGCACCATGGGGGCAGGCCCGCCCCGTGGAGGGGAGGCTGGGCCGCAGCCTTGCTCTTGAGGTGAGGATGAAGCGGGGCGAGTAGCAGGCCGGGGTGCGGCGGGTCTGACGGGGCCGGCCTCTCTCTGCAGCCGAGGAGTACCTGTCCTTTGCCTTCGAGCACTGCCACCGCTCCAGTCAGAAGAACAAGAGGATGATCCTCATCTACCTGCTTCCCGTGAAGATGCTGCTGGTGAGCCCGCCGCGAGGAAGGCTTGCTGCGCGTGCGGCGCCGGCCTGTGTCCTCCCCTGACCTCAGCTCACGCTCATTCCAGGCTGGCTATGGGGATGTGCATTTAGTCACCCAAGTTTACTGTGGATTCGCGAAAGGAAATTGCAGCTGCGCGGTCGCTGATTGAGCAGACGTCCTCAGAGCGACAGCTTTTCCCCTCGCGTCAGCCTGCGTGTGGTTGAGGCTTCACATAGTTTAGACAGCTTGGAATGCAGGGGACGTCGTGCCTGCCCCGCTTCCACGCCCGCTCCAGACAACCATTGTGGGGCCGATTCCTCCTGAAAGGGGTTCTGAGTTCCCACTTCTGCGTACACGAGTGTTTCCCCCTCATGGCTTCCCCCGTGGTGTGTGGCAGGATGAAGATGACGGGACGGGACACTCTGGGGACGGAACTACTGTGCTGGGCCTTCCTGTTCTAGGCCGGAGCTGTCTCTATTTTTCCCTGGAGTGCCGTGACGTTTGTAGTCAGCACTCAGCTACGGAGCAGTCCAGCTTGCATTTTTAAAGCTTAATTCTTGGATAAAAATTTTGTTGGGACAATTCCATGCAAAGGAAGTGACGTTCACTCTGGAAATTTGCCTCTTTGTCGTAGGGTCACATGCCGACCATTGAGCTTCTGAAGAAGTACCACCTCATGCAGTTTGCCGAAGTAACCAAAGCTGTGAGGTAGAGTGCTGCCCGCCCCTGGGGGTGGGAGGTACAGAGCTGAAAGTGCACGCTACGTGAGTCGCAGGGACAAGCGCTGCTCTCGGTGTTCTGTTTGTGACCCCACGTGTCACCCCCCAGCGAGGGCAGCCTGCTCCTGCTGAACGAGGCGCTGGCGAAGCACGAGACCTTCTTCATTCGCTGTGGCATCTTCCTCATCCTGGAGAAGCTGAAGATCATCACCTACAGGAACCTCTTTAAGAAAGTGTGAGTGTTTCACAGCTCCCACGCTCGCGCCTGCAGGCAGAGGGCTGCTGCCTCCTCAGGGCCCTGCCGCGGAGGTGGGGCGGTGCCCCGCCCAGGGCTCTGGGGGAGAAGTGGGGTTTGGGTGAAGACCCCTCTCCCTAGTGTTGGCTCGTTCAAGACGTTCCCAACAGTAAGGAGAGCTGTGAGTGGGTAGCGTTTCATTGACGCCATCAGCTGCCAGCTGTTGTGAGCTACGTCCTGATTTCAGAGACGCTGAAATACACATCTTTAGTTAAGAAATGCCCAGTATAAGAAGTTGTGCTGGGGGCCAGCGCTGTGGCACAGCGGGTAAAGATAAAGCCGCCACCTGCAGTCCCGGCATCCCACCTGGGTGCCCGTCAAGTCCCGGCTGCTCCACTTCCAATCCAGCTCTCTGCTGTGGCCTGGGAAAGCAGTAGAAGATGGCCCAAATCCATGGGCCCTTACACCTGTGTGGGAGACCTGGAAGAAGCTCCTGGCTCCTGGCTTCGGATCAGTGCAGCTCCGGCCACTGCGACCATCTGGGGGAGTGAACCAATGAATAGAAGATCAATCGATCTCTATCTCTCTCTGTCTCTGTCTCTGTCTCTGCCTCTCCTTCCCTCTCTCTCTCTCTCTCTGTAACCCTGATTTTCAAATAAATAAGTAAATCTTTAAAAAAAAAAAAAAAAGTTATGCTGGTAGCAGCAGAGAGAGAGAGACAGTTCTTCTATCGCTGCTTCACTTCTCCAAATGCCTGCAGTGGCCGGAGCGGGATTGATCTGCAGACAGGAGCCAGGGGCATCCTGGCCTGCCATGTGGGTGCAGAGGCCCAAGCACTTGGGCCGTCCTCTGCTGCTTTCCCAGGCGCATTAGCAGGGAGCTGGTTCAGAAGTGGAGCAGCTGGGACTTGAACTGTATGGGATGCCTACACTGGAGGGGGCAGCGTTATGCCACAGTGCCAGCCCCAAAAAGCCACAATTTGATAGCTCTTACTTTAAGAGTATCTGGGAGGTGGGAGGATTTTCTCATTGCTCTGAGGTACCAGCTACTAAAGGGTGCTGTCCCCACTGTCTGAGCATCTCCTGGCCACGACAAGCACCTGTGTGTCGTAATGCCCTCTCGCAGGTACCTGCTGCTCAGGACACACCAGCTGTCTCTGGACGCTTTTCTGGTTGCCCTCAAGTTCATGCAGGTGGACGACGTGGACATTGACGAAGTGCAATGCATCCTTGCCAACTTGATATACATGGTGCGTAGAGTCCTGGATGCTCTTGTACTTGGTGTATGGTGAGTGTGAGTGCTCACTGCTGCTGTACTTGGTGTATGGTGAGTGTGAGTGCTCACTGCTGCTGTACTTGGTGTATGGGTGAGTGTGAGTGCTCACTGCTGCTGTACGTGGTGTATGGTGAGTGTGAGTGCTCACTGCTGCTGTACGTGGTGTATGGGTGAGTGTGAGTGCTCACTGCTGCTGTACTTGGTGTATGGGTGAGTGTGAGTGCTCACTGCTGTTCTACGTGGTGTGTGGTGAGTGTGAGTGCTCACTGCTGCTGTACTTGGTGTATGGTGAGTGTGAGTGCTCACTGCTGTACTTGGTGTATGGTGAGTGAGTGCTCACTGCTGCTGTACTTGGTGTATGGTGAGTGTGAGTGCTCACTGCTGCTGTACTTGGTGTATGGTGAGTGAGTGCTCACTGCTGCTGTACTTGGTGTATGGGTGAGTGTGAGTGCTCACTGCTGCTGTACTTGGTGTATGGTGAGTGTGAGTGCTCACTGCTGCTGTACTTGGTGGACACCGTGAGTGAGTGCTCACTGCTGCTGTACTTGGTGTATGGTGAGTGTGAGTGCTCACTGCTGCTGTACTTGGTGTATGGGTGAGTGAGTGCTCACTGCTGCTGTACTTGGTGTATGGTGAGTGAGTGCTCACTGCTGCTGTACTTGGTGTATGGTGAGTGTGAGTGCTCACTGCTGCTGTACTTGGTGGACACCGTGAGTGAGTGCTCACTGCTGCTCTACGTGGTGTGTGGTGAGTGTTGAGTGCTCACTGCTGTACGTGGTGTATGGTGAGTGTGAGTGCTCACTGCTGCTGTACGTGGTGTGTGGTGAGTGTGAGTGCTCACTGCTGCTGTACGTGGTGTATGGTGAGTGTGAGTGCTCACTGCTGCTGTACTTGGTGTATGGTGAGTGTGAGTGCTCACTGCTGCTGTACTTGGTGTATGGTGAGTGTGAGTGCTCACTGCTGCTGTACGTGGTGTATGGGTGAGTGTGAGTGCTCACTGCTGCTGTACTTGGTGTATGGGTGAGTGTGAGTGCTCACTGCCGCTGTACTTGGTGTATGGTGTGTGTGAGTGCTCACTGCTGTACTTGGTGTATGGTGAGTGAGTGCTCACTGCTGCTGTACTTGGTGTATGGTGAGTGTGAGTGCTCACTGCTGCTGTACTTGGTGGACACCGTGAGTGAGTGCTCACTGCTGCTGTACTTGGTGTATGGGTGAGTGTGAGTGCTCACTGCTGCTGTACTTGGTGTATGGTGAGTGTGAGTGCTCACTGCTGCTGTACTTGGTGTATGGTGAGTGTGAGCGCTCACTGCTGCTGTACTTGGTGTATGGTGAGTGTGAGTGCTCACTGCTGCTGTACTTGGTGTATGGTGAGTGTGAGCGCTCACTGCTGCTGTACTTGGTGTATGGTGAGTGAGTGCTCACTGCTGCTGTACTTGGTGTATGGTGAGTGTGAGTGCTCACTGCTGCTGTACTTGGTGTATGGTGAGTGTGAGTGCTCACTGCTGCTGTACTTGGTGTATGGTGAGTGTGAGTGCTCACTGCTGCTGTACTTGGTGTATGGTGAGTGTGAGCGCTCACTGCTGCTGTACTTGGTGTATGGTGTGTGTGAGTGCTCACTACTGCTGTACTTGGTGTATGGTGAGTGTGAGTGCTCACTGCTGCTGTACTTGGTGTATGGTGAGTGTGAGTGCTCACTGCTGCTGTACTTGGTGTATGGTGAGTGTGAGTGCTCACTGCTGCTGTACTTGGTGGACACCGTGAGTGAGTGCTCACTGCCACTGTACTTGGTGTATGGTGAGTGTGAGTGCTCACTACTGCTGTACTTGGTGTATGGTGAGTGTGAGTGCTCACTGCTGCTGTACTTGGTGTATGGTGAGTGTGAGTGCTCACTGCTGTACTTGGTGTATGGGTGAGTGTGAGTGCTCACTGCTGCTGTACGTGGTGTATGGTGAGTGTGAGTGCTCACTGCTGCTGTACGTGGTGTATGGTGAGTGTGAGTGCTCACTGCTGCTGTACTTGGTGTATGGGTGAGTGTGAGTGCTCACTGCTGCTGTACTTGGTGTATGGGTGAGTGTGAGCGCTCACTGCTGCTGTACTTGGTGTATGGTGAGTGTGAGTGCTCACTGCTGCTGTACTTGGTGTATGGGTGAGTGTGAGTGCTCACTGCTGCTGTACTTGGTGTATGGGTGAGTGTGAGCGCTCACTGCTGCTGTACTTGGTGTATGGTGAGTGTGAGTGCTCACTGCTGCTGTACTTGGTGTATGGGTGAGTGTGAGTGCTCACTGCTGCTGTACGTGGTGTATGGGTGAGTGTGAGCGCTCACTGCTGCTGTACTTGGTGTATGGTGAGTGTGAGTGCTCACTGCTGCTGTACTTGGTGTATGGTGAGTGCTCACTGCTGCTCTACTTGGTGTATGGTGTGTGTGAGTGCTCACTGCTGTACTTGGTGTATGGTGAGTGTGAGTGCTCACTGCTGCTGTACTTGGTGTATGGTGAGTGTGAGTGCTCACTGCTGTACTTGGTGTATGGTGAGTGTGAGTGCTCACTGCTGCTGTACTTGGTGTATGGGTGAGTGTGAGTGCTCACTGCTGTACTTGGTGTATGGTGAGTGAGTGCTCACTGCTGCTGTACTTGGTGTATGGTGAGTGCTCACTGCTGCTCTACTTGGTGTATGGTGTGTGTGAGTGCTCACTGCTGTACGTGGTGTATGGTGAGTGTGAGTGCTCACTGCTGCTGTACTTGGTGTATGGTGAGTGTGAGTGCTCACTGCTGCTGTACTTGGTGTATGGTGAGTGCTCACTGCTGCTCTACTTGGTGTATGGTGTGTGTGAGTGCTCACTGCTGTACTTGGTGTATGGTGAGTGTGAGTGCTCACTGCTGCTGTACTTGGTGTATGGTGAGTGTGAGTGCTCACTGCTGTACTTGGTGTATGGTGAGTGTGAGTGCTCACTGCTGTACTTGGTGTATGGTGAGTGTGAGTGCTCACTGCTGTGCTTGGTGTATGGTGAGTGTGAGTGCTCACTGCTGTACTTGGTGTGTGGGTGAGTGAGTGCTCACTGCTGCTGTACTTGGTGGACGCCGTGAGTGAGGGTGCCGGGCAGTGTCGCAGCTCCAGAGCAGGGTTGGCCTAGCCTGTGAGGCCCTGCTTGGAAAGGCATTTGTTGGTGGTCCTGGAAGATTTCCTCTGTCCCGGCTCAGACCTTCCCGGGCCGTGGGGTGTGCGTGGGGTGTGGTGTGTGTCTCCACGTTTCCCTGCCAGTGAGTTGCACGGTGCCGTTACCTCTGGCTGGGCGGGAGGGTGCCGGTGCCCAGCTTCTTGGGCGTGAGGCAGACACAGACACGCGGCCCGCCTCCTCTGCAGGGTCACATCAAGGGCTACATCTCGCACCAGCACCAGAAGCTCGTCGTCAGCAAGCAGAACCCCTTCCCGCCGCTGTCCACCGTGTGCTGAGTGCCCCAAGCCCGCCTCTGCGGCGTGGAGGGTGCTCCCCGGGACGCTGGGGCTCGTCACACCGCTGGGAGCTGACCACAGCCTTGGGCCGACCTGGCGTTCTCTCCCGGGCTCCAGAGCCCTGTGGGCCTTCCCCGAACGTGGCCAGGCAGGGCAGCCCCGCTCTGCTTGTCCCCAGTGTTCACAGAGGCGTCCTCTGGCTGTTTGTTATTTTTGTAGAAAAAAGCGTTCTGAATTTGTGCAAATGGCATATGCTTTGTTACGTCTCCCAGGACACCTCTGTTTCTATTTATTAAATTTAAACGTCCGAAATGCTTGGCCAACTTAAGGCTTCTTTTCAAGGCCAAGCAATTGGATTGAAGTATCCTAGGTGGTGCAGCTGGCCTGTGTGGGCGGGGGTGTGGAGGCTGCGTCTGGGGGCGGCGCCCTCCGCCGTGTCAGAGGGGATTGCAGGCTGCGGCCTCACCCCGACCACACTCGCCAGGTCACCCCTGACCTGCTGGGGTACGGCTGCAGTCCCTGGCGCCGCTGCTGGCCCGCCTCATCAGGGCGCACAGGTCGTCTATGAAGCGTGCAGAGGAGGAGACAGCTGTGCAGGGAACTGTGCAGAGTGAACTCCCTCTTGCCCAGGGCCCGGGGCTCGGCACTCGGTGCTTCCTCCTGCTGGGGAAGGCGCCGCCCGAGGCCGGGGGCTGGCACTGCTGGGGAAGACTCTGCCCGGGGCCGGGGGCTGGGGGCTGGGGCTGCAGGGGAAGACGCCCGAGGCTGGGGGCTGGGGGCGCTGCGGGGGAAGGCGCTGCCCTGGGCTGGGGGCTGGGGGCTGGGGCTGCAGGGGAAGGCGCTGCCCTGGGCTGGGGGCTGGGGGCTGGGGCTGCAGGGGAAGACGCCCGAGGCTGGGGGCTGGGGGCGCTGCGGGGGAAGACGCCCGAGGCTGGGGGCTGGGGGCGCTGCGGGGGAAGGCGCTGCCCTGGGCTGGGGGCTGGAGCTGCAGGGGAAGGTGCTGCTCGAGGCCGGGGGGCTGGGGGCGCTGCAGGGGAAGGGGCTGCCCGGGGGCTGGGGGTGCTGGGCGGCTGCTGGGGCTGGGCCCGATGTGGCGGTGCCCACCCGTGGCAGGTGCGCAGGTCCTGGGCTCTGGACAGGCTCCGCTGCCTTCTGCACTGGGCGCATCCAGTGGCAGCCGTGGGGTTCCGGGAGCAAGTGTCCCAGGAGGATCCCCGTTGATAATCTCAACCCCCAAGTCACGTCCAGTTCCCAGCTGAGGACGGGGTGTGGGCCTGTGGGCTCAGGCCAGCGGGCCGTTCCCTGGGCGTCAGGGCGGCTCGGCTCGCCCGAGTCTCCGTGTAGTGTGCCGCCTTCCCCTGCTTCCTCCTCAGGATTGGGAGTGCCAAGGTGGGGTTGGGCGCATTTCCAGCTACTGCCTGAGTTTTAAGTGGGGACAGCGGAACTGAGGCTCGACGGCTGGGGTGCGGCGCGGTTGTACGTGGTGGTGAGAGAAGCGGACACGCTGAGCTCGGTGCCCTGTGGTGACTCGCGGTGTAGACTGGCCGCGCGCAGGCCCAGGGCAGTAGCCGGCCATCGTCACGGTTAGTTCGCACTGGCGTCGCTGACCAGACTTCATCTCCAGCCAGGTGAACGTGGCTGAGCCTTTTCAGAGGTCGCGGCGGCTGAGTCCCTTCCCTCGAGTCCCGCGGTCTCGGGGCTTGTTCGTGTGACGTGGTTGTGGCCGCTGCGTTATCTCATGTGCCGGTAGCGTCGTTCTGTCCTCTCTGAAGCCCTGATCCTGCCGGCCGCTCCTGTGGGTGTGTGCCGTGGTGAGAGGTGCCGTGTGCCGGCCCTGCCCGGCTGTGTGTGTGTGTGTGTGTGTGTGTGTGTGTGTGAGAGAGAGAGAGAGAGATGTTTGGGGGTCCCAGCACTAATGTGAGAGGTGCCGTGTGCCATCGCTGCCTGGCTGTGTGTGTGTGTGTGTGTGTGTGAGAGAGAGAGAGAGAGAGAGAGAGACTGCTGTGGTGAGAGGTGCCGTGTGCCATCGCTGCCCGGCTGTGTGTGTGTATGTGTGTGTGTGTGAGAGAGAGAGGCTGCCGTGATGAGAGGTGCCGTGTGCCGGCCCTGCCCGGCTGTGTGCGTGTGGGGGGGGGGATGTTTGGGGGTCCCAGCACTGCTGTGGTGAGAGGGCCTGGGTGCCTTACATCCGATTTTCAAGCCATTTTGGCTGTGTTAGCAAATCCGGCTTTGTGATGCGAGCACCGCGATGGAGACTGCAGGTGCGCCCGTGTACACTGGGCCCCAGGTGCTCGTTTGCTGTTTGGGGTTGGTGGCTGACATTTAAGGGGGTGGCCGGGTCACCTCCGGAGAGCCTGGGGACAGCCAGAGGGCACTTGGACATTGAACTCAACCTTGTTCTGCACCGCATTTCCCCGTGACCCGCCTCCAAGTTACTTTAGAGCTTTGCCAAGGTCCTTTGAGAGACATGGGTGTGCATCCATCTGAAGACTGGCAAGAGTGAGTGAGTGAGTGAGTGAGTGAGTGGAAGCCAGTTCTGCGGTGAAGGGCACAGGACAGCGGAGTCGTGTGCTGGAGAGGTGGTGTCGCCACTGCTGTCAGGTCAGGGCAGTACTCAGAGTGGCCCACACTGGTGACCCCTTCTACCACTAGGTTTTTAAGAGATTGGTTGACTAGTAATGGCCCTGAGGCCGTGTTGGGTCCAGTAAGGACGTTGCTCTTCTGCGGGCGTCACACTTCCAACTCCCACGGCACACCGGGGACCCCGACCACCCAAGCTTCCACGGTTCCTCAGCCACAGAGGGCGGCTTCCCACAGCACCTGCATGTGGCACCCCTGAGCCCGAGCACGCAGGTCTCAGAGGGCGAGCAGGGCCTTGGCCTCAGGCGAGCAGAGCCTCAGCATCGGGCAAACTCAGAGCCTCAGCACTGGGCTAGCTCAGAGCCTCCGCATTGGATGAGCTCAGGGCCTCTGCGTCGGGCTAGCTCAGAGCTTCAGCATTGGGCCAGCTCAGGGCCTCGGCATTGGATGAGCTCAGAGCCTCCGCGTCGGGCTAGCTCAGGGCCTCGGCATCAGGCGAGCTCAGGCCTCGGGGTCAGGTGAGCTCAGAGTCTCAGTGTTGGGCAGGCGCAGGGCCGGGTGGGGGTCTCTGGTGGGAAGGTCAGAGTGCGGGGGTGCACCCAGGCCTTTGGCCTTGCTGTTCTCAGGAGAGCCTGTTGAAGGAGTCTCGCCGGGCTCCTCAGTGTGCAGTTTACTCACACTTCGGGTGGTCAGCGTGGGGTCCGTGGGGTCCCCAGGAGGCTGTGTGCGGCCATGGGTTCTCAGCCAGTGCGCGCAGGCCCCCGCGGGCCCTGGAGCTCCTGCTTGTGGTTACTGTTAGGGTGCAGCTGTTTGGTTTGGGCTCCTTCCAGCTTCCATCCATTGGGTCACTCCCCAAAGCCGCCATGGCTGGGCCCCGTCCAGGCTGGTGCCGGGAGCCAGGAGGAGCCGGGAGCTTCACCCTGGTCTCCCACACAGATGACAGGGACCCACGTACTCGGGCCGTCTTCGGTTGCTTTCCGAGGCGCACAGCAGGGAGCTGGGTTAGAAGTGGAGCGGCCGGGACAAGCCCGAGCTGCGACGAGGCTGAGCCCAGCGTGCAGATCGCCGCTCCCAGAGCTGCCCTCCCCCGACTGCCGCCTGCAAGCTTTGGTCTCGCTGGGAAACTGGTGCATTCGAAGTCGCGTGCTCTCGTGTAGAAGTTGGGGAACGGGTTTGCCACCTCCTCGTGTTGAAAGTTAAGAAATTGACCCAAAAGTTAAGCGTTTGCATCATGTCTGTCTGCTCTCGCTTTTCCCTTCAGTACAAATTCAGACCCCACGTGGCGCTCTGCTGTCCTGGGGAGCCCGGGGTGGGCTGGGCCCTGGTTCTGCCGTTCTCTTGGGTGACGGCACCCACAGGTCCTGGGTCTGATGGCGCTGCACTCGACTTCCCGTGTGGCCCTCTGTGTCCGTGTCCTCCCGGGCGCAAGGGAGGCTGGCTTTCAGGGTCGGAAGGTAACTGGAGACGGTTTCTCGCAGTTCCACGGTGGGCTGCAGCAGCCCTGTGTTCTATTTTGGATCAAAAATTGTCTCTTCAGAAATAAGGGCGGGGCCAGCATTGTGGCGTAGTAGGTGAAGCCTCTGCCTGCAACACCAGCGTCCCATGGGGGCGCCGGTTCGAGTCCGGCTGTCCTACTTCCAGCCAATCCCTGTGGACACTCCTGGGAAAGCGGTGGAGGATGGCCTGAGCCTTGGGCCTCTGCACCCACATGGGAGCACGGAAGAAGTTGGTGCCTGGCTTCGGCCTGGCCCAGCTCCAGCCATTGGGGCCATTTGGGGAGTGACCCAGTAGAAGGATGAGTTTTCTCTCTCTCTGCCTTTCAAATAAATGAGAAAATAAATTAAAAATAGTCAGCAAATAGCTCCTTACAATGTCGGGGCTCTCAAGACAGCCCGTGGGGCTTCAGTCCCACCCCACCATGCGGCTGGCTAGACGCTGAACAGGTCGTGGAGAATCCCAGCCTTGCTTGCTCTGGAATAAAGTGGGCTGACAGGTCCGCCTCTGGCCAAGGAGTCACAGTGGCCCTCACACCTGAACCGACAGAAAGGACATTTATGAGACCAGGTTCCTTCAGCCGCCACCCTGAGTTCGCACGGCACAGGGTAGGCTGCGGTGACTCCAGTGGGGCCCAGTGGACTCCCTGGGTTGAAGAGAGAGCCGAGAGCACAGGGAGACACGAGTGGCTGGCACCCAGGACAGCCTGCGCTCGGCCCTCGGCAGCACGTGTGAGGGAGGGAGGTGCCAGGCGCCACCAGGACAGCGATGGGGCCTGCTGCCGCCTTCTGCCTCGGGGCACTGGCTAGGGACACAGGCCTTGCCTCAGGAGTGGAAGCCCCGAGAGCCAGGGCCTCTCTGGCTCCACCCAACAAAGCCTGAAGGCCGAACGCCGTGCGTCTTACCTGTATGCCAGGACACCATGCAAGGGAGCGCACGGAGCACGCAGCGTCCAGCTCCTGACAGAGGAAGCTCATGGGGTCTGCCAGGCGTAGAAACCACACCTCAGCGTGCAGGTCAGCAGATAAGGGCGCCAGGACGTTACAGCTGCCATCCCAGTGCAGCGTGTTACGTGCTCTGGCCAGTGAGGGACTGCGTATGGGGTACTGGTCCCACAGGCCTTGAGAGTGCCCACTGTCCCACGAGAGTGACTGGGTTGGCCAGCAGGGCCCTGCCCCCATGCTGAGAGGGAAGGGCTGTTGGCCTGGAAGTCCCAGCCCAGGGAAACGAAACCCCCT